GAGAAAGCATGCACTAACATCGAGGACCTCGGCATGGATGCGGAAGTTTGGTATTCTTGATATAGTCGGCTTTGGTCATCTTTCGCTTGTTAGATTTGTTGAAGGCATCGGTATGGGAGCATGATCAGACTGACGCTGGAGGATGTAGGGATGGTCTGCGCTTCGAGTAGTGGGCTGCAGGGTCAAAAAGATGTTCTAGTACATTCCGAGGTGAAGAGATTCGGGTTGCATTCGCGGTACCGACTAGCAAAAGCCATCACTCGGTCGATCTGCTGCGTCTCCCGAGGAAGTCCGACGTGCATCAGCAGCTTGCGTAGAGCGATGTCGAGCGGGTCCTCAGCAAAAGCAAAATGACCTATGTACGCCCGGAGCGCTTGGGCATAGAAAGGATCGGGACTGCTGGTATCAGTCAAAGATCCTAAAACGGCAAATTCGTGACACACCTCGACGCCAGGATCCCGGCCACTTCGGCCTTGCTGACCGCTTGCAGTAAACGATTGAGATAGATCTCGGGAGACTCGTGCTCTGTTTCTGGTTTTGGAATCACGACAGGCTTGTGCAAAGAAGCCCGAGGAGAGTCCATGGGTGAGCTGATCGGTGAATCGTGTAAGGGGCTCTGGGACAGCGCAGACGGCGAGTTTGATGAGGAAAATAGATTCAGCGACAATCTGTGAAGTAACGGAGGATTCGTCTGAGAGCGCGGGCGGCGACTGGGCCGGGAGACAGCGTCGACGAATCAGGTTGTGGTGGAAGTGGAGGTGGTTGCGACGGTGTAGAGTTCAACAAGGTGGTTGGGCTGCGAGTGGACGGGTCCGCTGTAGCCGGTCGGCGCGATGGCTTGCGCAGGATCGGTTGCGCCATTTCTGTCATCGGAGAAGGCTGTGCCATGACATTGGACCGCTCGGAGTGGCTTCTCGATAGCCCGCGAGAATGCTTAGTGCGAGAAGATGACGATGTCATATGTAAATCGTCAAACGTAAACGGGCTCAGCGGTGAAACGGAAGGTAATGTTGGAGGCGGCGAGGGCTGCAGGTACAGCTGCTCTACATGGGCCGGTAGCGCGGTATCTGCAGGAGTAGACTTCTTGCGCGACCAGAAGGAGGCTCTTCGGACGAGCGCTGGCTTGGGCATCGGGGACGGGGCCGCTTCCTCCACTTCTTTCCCTTTGCCCTTGATATCAGGGTAGCCCGAATTCAGAATTGCGGTATTGCCCAGTGAAACACCGCGAATCCGGCCTTTTGCACCCTCCGAGTGCGATCCCTCCAACTCCATCCCCGGCTCATATAGAGACGACATCGCCCGAAGCTTAGTTGAGCTTTTGGCACGGCGTGGAGTCTGTATAGACCTCCGACGCGAGTCCATTTCAGGTGGCGTAAGGAATGCGACGGTGTTAATGTCGGAGGTTGTCGAGGACGCCGAGGACGATGGGTCGCGCAACGCATGAGGGAGACCAAGGCCAAATGATGCTCGCGCAAGGATCGCGGTTGGTTGCGATGAGGCGAGGGACTTCCTAGAACTGATGCTTGCGGATAGGGAGGGTACAGGTGAGTCGTCACGGTATGAATGGGCCGAGTCGTTGCGGGGTCTCGGTGTATCGGGCACAAATGGATCCTCTGGAGGGGTGGGAGGAAGATCTTTCTCCGAGAAGCGCTCTCGCCGCAGCCTTCCATCCTCCGTTGGTCTCCGTTCCACGCTGTCCCTATTCGTTGGGGACGAGGAGCTCGCCACTAATGGTCGCTTCTTCCAGAGCGGGAGCGAAAAGAAATGAGTGGTATGGGTAGTTGTCGTCGTCAGGACTTGAGTCGTTGTCGTCGTTTCGGTGACAAGGAGCGGGGGAGAAGCGTCCTTGTACGGTGGAGGAGCATCTTGAGCGTTGCCCTGCCCGAGAGAGAAACGACCCATGCAGTAGACAAGCAAGGAAGTGGCAGACCAGGAACGGCAGTAGCCTGACAAGCGGTGGCATCAAAGTTACCGCATTCGTCAGTCCAGATACGTCAGACGGCTGCCGGTTCCAGTCTCAGGCACGGCCACCACAGCGAGAGAATGAATGGAGGAATACGACAAGTCTACTGTATCTAGCCTGCTTTGGCCTCCCGCCGCGCGTTCTTCACTAACTTGCGCTTCTTTTCCTCCAGATTTGTACGCTGCAAAGAGCGATCAGTGATGAATCCAGGGTCGAAGTGGCATGCAGTACCTCAGCTGTTTTCTTGTTCTGACTGTACTTCATCTTCTCGTACAGCTTCTTTTGTTTGTTGCTCATCATCATCTTGTTCATGTCCTTCTCAGCTTCGTCGCCAGTCTCCTTGGGCGCACTTGTCTTCTTGCGGGACTTGCGGACCTCCTTCTCGAAATCGCCGTAGTCGACGCCGGCAGCCTCAGCCGCGAGTTCGGCTGCACGAAGAGCTGCGTCGTCCGTGGCAGCGGCAGCTGCGCGTAAGGCTGACTTTTCAGCACTCTGATCTTCGTCCTCCTCCATGACGGCATCATCTTCAACCTCACTCTCGAGGTCCTCCTCGACACCGACAGCGGCAGCAGAGCTCGGATCATACGCGCCCTGGTACTCCCCAAAGGGACTCAGGTGAGGGGGCAGCGTGCTGCCCTGCAAATAGGGTTCCTCGAGCAGGATCTTCCCAGCATTGATGCAATCGACAACCCACTGGGGCTGGACGTATTTTCTCCTCAGCCGTCGCTCCCGCTCTTCTGCGGTCTCATTTGTCCTTTCAACCACAGGTCGGTCGATGATGACGTGGGTGATCGACTCGTCTGACTCGTCGAAGGGAGAGCCGCTGCCAGAGGATGAAGGCCAGCCTATTCGGCCACCAAACGAACGGATGAGAAATTCGAAGATTGGCCTTGACGTTTCCCTTGAAAGCCAAAACGAGTATGGGGAGAAGAGTGACGTCGTCAGGCTTTGAGGGAGAGCCTCCAATGCCTTCAGAGTCGGTAACGGGGCTGTCGTCTGGGGCTCCGATGTGGATTGTTGGGGTACGAACTCCTCGTCAGCTTCATCCACATCCATTTCATTCGCATCGGGAATGGTGTCCTCCGCCTCATCTGTCTCTGCACCAGCCATGCTCTTGATTGCCTGACGGACATCCTTGCTCGAGATCTTGCGGCCCTCGACCTCGACGACCTTGGTCTTCGAAACCGATGGCGCAGTCACCTGACCCGCGTTTTGCAGATTGAAAGCACCGACCCCGGCTCCAGTTTCGTCCTTGGTATTGTCCAAGGGGGCGGGTAGACGAGACCAACATCGGTATACAGCTTGAAGCATACGAAGCCGAGAAGGGTTTGGTAGAGCTCGAGGAATGTGAGCATGACACGAACGTCCACATCTGAAGGGATCTGCAAATCTTAAGTTCAATCAGAGCGCAGAGAATACCAGGGAAGCGCGCACAGTCTGGGTAAATTGATAGGGCACAAGCCATGTTACGGTCTGATCACAGACTTCCGCCTGGTAATACACACCCTTAATGGAAAGGAAAACTTTGCGCAGCGATCGTGTGTGCATCACGTACAGCTGCCACTCTGCAGCGAGACGAGCACAGTTCTCCGTCAGAGATGCAGGCAGTCGAGGATTGGAAGGTAATGAAGCAAACAAGAAGGCCATGCAAAGCGCATCGTCGATGTCCCGGACGGCGTCGATGAAGGTTGGATATCTTAAGCTTCCGATTGAAATGCAAGTTAGAGGAAGGTGAATCGCGACGCACCGCTCCTTGATGATATGGTCCAATCTGTACACCGGCTTGTTCTCCTCCAATGTCTTCGCGTCTCCCCACTCTCCCCGTCCCAGTGCTCGAGAAAGTTTTTTGGCGAAAGCCTTGTGTTCTCGCAATTTTTTCAATACTGGTTCATGGGCAAGGTAGGCGATGTCTTTGGCGTAGTAGAAGGATGTCGGGGCGGACGATCCCTTGTTAGCCCGCTTCCTGCTTTTGGGTTCCCGGGGGAAGATACCTGCAGTCAAAAAGTAAGAGCCGATTCAAGAAACATTGAGCTCAAGCATACCCTTGAGGATGCATAGCCGACGGAAATCCGCTAGAGAGCACTGAAGCTTTTTAATGGCCGCCGAGCGAGTAACGTATGCCTTCGCTGCGCCAGCCTTTCCTTTTTGCCGCAAACGACCCATGGACGGAGGAGAATGATATTTTTCCCAATCTGGAAAACACTTTGTTAGGCGATCGTGATTGAGCCAAACACCAGCACGCTCCCTGCTTCATCCTCCACTTATGAGGTGAAGACACGCGCCTTTCCACTGGACTGGGCACTAATCGCTTTCATAGTCAATACGTCCACGTCCCGAAATCCGAGCTGGACGAAGCTCAGCTTCGTCAGTTAGAGGAACACGAGATCTCGCAAGGCCCTCTGTCCGTACTTCAACAAGCCGTCCGAAACCATGCTCAAGTCCTGATTTCCTTGCGGAACGACAAAAAACTCTTGGCTCGGGTCAAAGCATTCGATAGACACAGCAACATGGTGCGTCTTCTAGATGCTCAAGTCTGACTGGAATTGACTCTGTTCCAAGGTCCTCGAAAATGTGAAAGAGGTGTGTTATGCCGCGTTCACGGATATTTTAGACCCACAACCGCATCTAGATGTGGACAGAAGTACCAAAAGGCAACAACAAGAAGCCCGTGAACAAGGACCGGTTCATCAGCAAGATGTTCCTCCGGTATGTACCCTTGGTCCACGCTCGAGGGTTTGATTCTGACCGTGATCCAGAGGTGATTCTGTTATTCTGAGTGAGTTCAAGCTACTTCTTTTCGAGAAAATCGTTAACGTATGGTAACAGTTCTCAGGAATCAAGCATAATGTATTGTTGTTTTGTGTTCTATCGTGTACAGTATACGCGCTGGCTAGAAGGATTGCTCAGGAACGAGGACTAGGATCACATTGCGTGACGAGTTCCGGCGGTCATTCGTTCAGTAATCCTGGCCTCATCTTCCAGCTCCTTCACTGTTTCAAAATGACTGCCAGTGCAATCCATATGAAACTTTGTGCGCCAAATGCATTCCGCTCAGTGACAGCCAGCTCGAGAGATAGCCAGCCACGGCGCAACACCTCGGCCCATCCCACGGCGTCATCCTCCAGCTGCTCTTCCTTGACGCCCTGGACAAGCATGTCCGTCCTTTCTCGCGGAGTGGAGATCAGGTTCTGGATAGATGGCCCGGTGAGATCTAGCCGGCAGTTCAGAAAGTGGCACGCACAGATCTCTTCCGTGGCTGAGAAGTCTTGGCAATGATTGTGCCCACAACCGCCTTCTCCTCGGAGAGGAGGGCAGCTCGCCCGTGCGATACCGTGTGCGAGGACACAGATGGATTGCAGCTCCGAGGTGTAACGGCTGAAGATCTGTGCGATGTCACGAAAAATCCGATGGCCTTTATCTGTTCCGACGCGAGTGTGTCGCTTGACGATCGGTCTAAGGGCGTGCAGGATAGGATCTTCTATCCGGGTTTGCTCGAGGGCACTGGTCAAGACTTGTATGTCGCGACGAGGTCGAGCCCCTGCTCGCAGCCGACGCCGTTCCGCCGGAGATACCGAGTCTGCCGGAGATAACGAGTCTGCCTGGATTTCGCCCAAATCGATGGCTCGGAAAAGTTTCCCAATGGCTCGCTGGCTGGGATAGTACTCATCTGCCTGGTCATAAGCTGGGCGCCGCCCTTTTCTAATTCCATACTAGCCCATGTTCGCATGCAGCTCGGGTGCATGCCAGTCTGTTTTGGAGCGTGACTTTGGTTTGGGAATGGTTTCGACCGCCACCCGCTGCGGGAGTTGTAAAAATCGACAGATGGACGAATAGGACGGAGAGTCTCAACTTGTCCGCTTTTGGGATACTCGACGGCGTCCGAGTGCAATTTCGCAAGTTTGAGACAATCCCGATCAAAGATATGATGGGGGGATTGGTCTACAATGAGCAGCCAGTTTGTGGCAACTATTCCGACAGCCTGGCAAGTTGGTCAGAGCTAAGTAAAAGTCTGCGATCCGGTGACTGACATCACTGTTGATGTATTCGATAACGAATTCCCGAATATCTGCAGAGGTGCTCGGGCGAGCCACTAGTTTTTGAGGGGAAGGGGCATATTCTGCCGGAGGACAGATGCGACTGGGACGGAGCCTACAGTATGCGCCGCAGTCAGGTTCAGTCGATGGCATATGGGCAACTGGTAGTCACTCAGGGTGTTTCTCCTGAGGGATCAGATGATACGTGTCGCCGTCCAAATCTCCTCCGCCTAGCATACTGGGACACGGCCGCTCTCCTGTTGCAAAATGCATCAATCGGGTGGCGGAAGCGTAGCGCCACCGACCTAGCGCGGAGAAAACGACAGTGTTTGGCAATGGCTCATGCTTGAATGGGCTGCCTTCCGGCGGTTTCCCTATCGCATGCACTATCCTCACATCCCTGGATGCGCGGTGGGCGATCGCGAGATCAAGATCTCGCCTTCGAGATACTCAAGGGTTTTCGCTGTCCACCTCCCGGGTACAGGCGAATATCTCCCCTTCTTTGAGGTAATTGTGCACGTCAGCCGCACCCACTAATGTGACCTGAGCTGGCATCGGGATGCGAGCTTTGGTCTTCAGGAGTCGAAGCATATGATGGATGGCAAAATCAAGCGTCTTGGTGTAGAATGCGTCACCCGACACCAGAGTGGATCGAGCTGCTGTAGACCACAAATAACAGCAGGCATGCGGAAAGAGGCTCCCAGACCGTGAGCCTCGAGTGTCTTTGCGAATGCTGGATTTTTGCACCTGCACCACAGCGAGGTCTTGAAATGTCTGCCAAAGAATTCAGGACATTGTGTTGCCACAATCCGCTGGAATGCATGCCTTGAAAATCTCGTAATCGACTCCGAGGCCCTCTGACGACAAGAAATAAGTTCCGATCGATCGATCTAGACACCAGGATTCACGGAGGAGCATGATGAGAGGCCTATTCAGATAGTAGGGACCAGGTTTATCGAATGTCATGGCAATTTCGATGGTGGTCGAGTGTGGAGCACTGAATTTGATCATAGACGGTCGCAGGCAAAAGACGTGGCCTTTGAGCTTGTAATCCACGGAGAACATGCCTGAAGATGTGCTCTTGAGGACAACCACATGTACCAGGAGAGCGTACCTTTAGAGCCTTGGAATCGTATCTGGACAGCACGGAGCGCATTGTTGACCAAGCGCCGGTTTCTGCGCCGTGTTGGTCTGAGCTCAGCCCAGATCGACTGGGCCAATCCCAAGCTCATAGTCCCAACACCGTCTGTGAAATGGTACTTTCCGGATGGGACCGACATGTCGGACAAATAAATGACTTCGTCCACCTTTAATGCTGTCGAATCAGAGGCCGTGAAGGCCTGCGAAATGCGGGCAGCGTAGCGAGCAGGACAGTGCGTGAGCTCGGGGTCGGACGCCCGATGGTGATGATGATGTGTGCAGCATTGATGAGCTTTTGATTTGTGTCCCTGAATGGGCGCACAAACCTGCGGAAAGAGTCAGATCCTTGAGTGACACGTGGACAAGAATAAAATGACCAAACAGCATGCTCCTTGAGCTCGGATTGTGAATACGCCAGAAACTCGAAATCTCTCCCCGCGATGGTCAATCCTCGGTCAATGAGAAACGCGCCAACTCGAAGTCTTGTCAATGCTACGTAGTCAACCTCGCGTTCAAATCGATACTGCATCCCGCCTTCATCCAAGAAGCTTCCAAGACACGATCAGTCGTGTCCAAACACAACAATCGCATGAGATTGTACCTTACTCGAAGGAACGATTCGTGAAACCGAGGAGAGAACGAACGGATGATTCGATTCGAACGTTCTGAATGTTTAGTTTCAGTCATCGACACTGAGAGAGGCCAGGAAATGACGATCTGTCTGGATCTTGGTATGGACCAACTGGAGAACATCCTGCCTGAATAAAGCGCGACGTTCGACGGGAAGTTCCGTGTCATGAACATTTTTGAAGGCTGCGGTTCTAGCCAGTTGCCGGAATAGGCCTGAGGCTTTTGCATTTCTGCAGGCGATTCGAAGGGCAAGCGATATGTACGGCGCCAATCTCTCGTGGTCCCCAATGGGAAGAAAGGACAGCCGTGTTCGCTTGGATGAAGTGTTGCTCGAAGATTCAAAGTTGGGTGGATCAGCCAGATCAAAGAACAAGATGGACCCTTGCTGCGAATGTGCCAGAATCGAGTTGATCCTGGAGAATGGAATGGCCACGTGGTAGGTCAGTTCATAGGGATGCGTCACGGTGAACGTCAGTCTGAACTCTCTGCGCTCCTGGTTTACGGACAAGACACCGCTCGCGGCCAGATCGGCCTGCCATTCGACTGAGAACACGTTGTCCCGGCACAGCCATCCAATTTGTAGGACGTCAGCTCTACGGTAGAGTTAGCTCGACTCTCGGACACACGACAGTTACTACCCGATACGTCCATCCAGCAGCAGCCGCTTGTCTCTCTCCCGTCGCGCCAAGACCACTGCCGCGGTGTACAGGAATCGCTCGGTGCGGTCCACCGCCTCCGGTCGCACAGCGACTTTTCCCAGTGTGAAAGAAATGCGTCGGCCGCCCAGTTTCAACTGTTTTGGGGCTTCAGGCCCATCTCGCTCTTGACAAAAGTCGCTGAGGAACTGGATTCCGACGCTTCTCAGAACAGTCAGAGTTCCAGTGCCATTGTGAGGTCCCGGGGTTGGTACGGGAACTGAAAAGATGGATATCATAATTCACAGGTCCAGTTTCAGAAGCCAGCAAAGAATATGGTGGATTATGCAGAATCTTGGATAGTGCAGCATCAAGTTGATGACTAATCAGTCCGTGAGTTTGCTCCGAACGGAGGTAACGAACGTCACGTTTCTTGACAGAAGCCGATCCCCTGCATGTAGATGTTCATGGCAATGTTTTCGATACCCATGGTGCGGGGCTAGATGAGAGCTGCTCAATCGCACGCAGTCACAGGAAATTTGACGCCCACGAAGCTTGTTACACAGCGTCAGTCAGGGATTGAAGGGGCAAGCCACGAACCGGCCCGATATGATCATGATCGCAGATAAGATTAGATGCGGACATCAGCGTGATATTTCTGCGCGTCGCGCACAGGAATGTACTACGAGAATAAAACTGTATTCATAGCCAGTTTGAACTGAATTCGATCACCCTAGAATCGAGAACGCAGGAAGCATTTGCTTGAGTTCTCTGCGTCCCATCTTGATCTTGTCTTGGATGAGAGCCTGCGAAAGACCATTATCACCGCTTCAGGGTGGGTCAGAGCGACTTACAACGTCCGTGAGGTGGCGGTTCCGTTCAAAATCTGCCCTGATCCATTGGATAGTTTCTTTCCTGGTTGCGGGATCAGGGATTGCTTTGAGAGATATTGAGGTTGTGGTAGAAGAACAGCAAAAAAGACGGAGAACCTCTGGACTACAGGAGCAAGTTAGCTTTGCTTTCATTTTTCGTCATCGCGAGCCGACTGACACTTCGTATGGCGTGGCGATACAAGTTGAAGACTTCTTGCTTCAGAATAAAATGTCGAAGAGTCAAGACCATGCACCCCAGCTGAGCATAAGACAACACGGCGTTCTTGATCAGCTGTCAGTAACAAGGCAAGACAAGAGTGGTCCCAGACGGTAGTTGTAGTTTCTGGTGAAAATGGTGACCAGTCACAAGGGGTAACAAGCACACCTGCTCGCTTTCGCCAACGCGACCCAAGAGATGCCCGCCAACGACGAAGCAATCAATTCCTCTGCACAAATTCATGTCTCTCCCAATCCCTCATCCGCCAACCCTCTTGTCCCCGCTGTCGTCCACGATGTCCCTCAAAACGAAAGCTCTGAGCAAGAACTCACAGTCGACCCTACTCCCATTCCGCCGCATACAACGCCACCCAGACCTCTAATGGTTTATACTCGTCCCCAACTCCTGCACCTCAATCGGTCTCCTTTAGTCGCACCCCCTCCCGGCATGCCGGAACTCAAACACTGGTTCGGGTATGAAGACATCAGCCCCACCACCACCATCCGTTTCTCAGAGTACCTTGCAGGGAACACGAGTCAAGCAAGAAAGACGTCGAATCTGCAACTCCTAATGGCGGCAGGGAAAGACGGTGGGTTCTACATCGTAGACCCTATGACTTTTCCATCTGACCTTACTCTGTCATAGCTTCAGAAGGGAGGCCGAAGATAGCGGTTTGTTCTATTTAGACCAGTGAGGAATGTCGTCCGTGCTCACTTAGTTACTCTAGATTCCCCGGTGCGAACCACCTTTCGCTCGACGATGACGCAACCCTCGCAAATGGGAAACTTCAAACATCATCCTTTGCGGGACCGTGACCGCGATCTGGAGAAAGGGGACAAGGAGGGTGAGAGACTCAGGAATGTGCGCTCCGACTCTGCTTCCTCTCCTTCTGTCGTTTCGCTTAGCTTTTTGTCCAGCTATCTGACAAGTTTGATCGCGATCGACTCGCTGCGCCGGGCTTACGAAACAAGGAAAGAGATATCGCCCCTCACTTGATCGAATCTTCTCTTCGAGGTGCATCTGCACTGACCGGGACGCGCCGAGGGGAGCCAAGAGATGGCACGAAGAAGAAGATTGGTGAGACGAATGACGACTGGCGAAGAGGTGCGTCACACATCCGTGGATAACAAACATTCCGAGTCTGAATCACCAATCACAGGCAACTCTACGCGCCCTGAACGTTAGTCTCTTTTGCACACCATTCCTCCTTGGCATTTATATACCGACCTAGGGTCAGATAACGCTCGTCCTGACCGTGAGCGACCACGTTCCCGAGTTCGTGACTCTTCGAGGCCAAGGCGTGATCATTCTTCTTCGCGACGCGAACGTGACGATGAAAGAGAGCCTGGTGACCACCGACGGCGGAGAGAAGATCAGCGCCGAGAGCGCGATCATGATCGAGCGGGAGACAAAGACGAGGAGGACACTCGCAGATGGCGCGACGACGGCAGGAGGGATGAACGTGTTGCGACGAGGCGGGCGAACGAGCGTCAAGCCGCGACCGACAAAGCACAGCAAGAAAACGGTGACTCAGACCGACGTTGGACGGTCGTGGAAGAAAGGGAGAATCGCACCAAGCGAAATCATCGCGATCGGAGAGCTGGAGGTGACGATGCCAAGGAAGAGCGTCGTGAGCGCGAGAGGGAAAAGGAGAAAGAACCTGCTTGGATGGAGACCTACGTGCCTGACTCCCCGGGTGGGATCGTCGGGCGCGGGACTGACGGTGAACTCGACGGCATCCAAGCCTGGAAGAAGGGTCTCAAAGAAAAGGAAAAGAGCGATGCAATAGCCGCGGCTATTCCCGCCAAAGCGGAACCGGAGCCTGCCGCTCTCCCGGATGTAACGTCCAACAAGCCGCTCAACGAGATTGAGATGTTCAGAATGTTGATGAAGACCGCTGCCGAAGAGCCCAGTCAAGATGCATTGCCTCCGCCTCCGGGAATCCACGCGAAACCTTCTCAAGGTGAGTTCCAGTATCATTCCGTCTTGATTTTGTAATGAAATTGGCCACAGGGACTTACCAACCTCCTCCCCCAGACGGAGTGGCCGTATCGGACCACGTTTCCGTGATCGCGCCTTCGGCCGTCGATTCCAACGTCACTTCTCTTGATCCCAATTCACTTTTGTCCACAATTTTGGGCAAAGGTGAACCCCAAGAACATCAAATTCAGACATCGTCCCGATTCTTCCCGAAAACCACTGCGAACGCGGGCCCGGAGAAGATCAATTCACCCGAAACTTTCAACCCTCCATCTGGATCTCGTCTTCTCGCCCTGGGAACGCGGCCGACAGGGAAATCAGTCACACCCGAAATAACTTCAGCTTTGCCGACCGCGACTCCAGCTCCACCCACGCCGACTGAGTCGATGCGAGCAGGCTTCACGCACTTTGACGAGCAATCGCGAATGGGCTTTGGGATGGAGCCACGTGATCAGACGCCTTTTGCTGGGGGTCGTGTTGATCGACAGTCCGGCCTGGTTACCGAAGCCGGCTTGTATCCGGACGCTTATGATCCAGCGAATGGCTATTCCGGTAACAAAGGTAGTCGCATGGCTAAATTCTTCTCTGAGCCCAAACGGGGTGATCCTCAAAGCCCGATTGGATTTACGTCGACCTCGCCCGGTCCGAGTCAGCGCCCAGTGCAAGCCCAATCTGCGATGGACGGTCTCTTGTCGAAACTGAATAACTCTGCGCACGTAAGCATCTGTTCGGGACGCTCGGTGGTTTCTCAAGGCGATTTTATAGACCCCGAGAGCTATTCCGAATCTGCAGCTCTTGCAACAACAGCAGCACCAGCAGATGCAACACACGCAACAACAACTGCAACAATTGAACATCAATCATCGCATGGACTCATTATACGACAGCCGTCTGGACGACCGCAATTTCGTCCCCGATGGGATGGTACCGGGTCTTCGGCCCGCCGTCCCGCGTGGCGCTCAGAATGGGGGAATGTTCCCGGAGTCGCTCGACGAAGCAATGCATTTTGGACAACCACGCGTTGCTCCCCAGCAAAACCACGTGTATAATCCACAAGCACTGCCGTCTGGGTTCGGCCAACCAGGGGGACGCAACAACGGGCTGGGGATGCAGGGACAATTCCGAGGGACATCGCCGATCGGCAATGGTCAGGCCCGGGGCATTCCTACTGGACTGGCTAATCTTGGGGGCCGGCCGCCTCTGGACAGCGCACAGTACATGGGAATGCCTGGGCTTCCTCACAACGGAGTGCATCCGAATGCGCCGCCCCCTCAGTTCAACAGTTTTGCCGCGCAGCCCCATTTGCGTGTCCAGCAGCATCACCCCAATCTCGACATGGTGGCCAACGCTCGGATGCTTGGTGGCTTTGGGTCTCAGTCCCAGATCCTCCAGCAGCAGCAGCAGCAACTACTGAAGGAACGGCAACTGCAGCAAATGCAGCAAGAGCGAGCTATCAGGATCCAGCAAGAGCGGATCCAGCAAGAACGGATCCAGCAGGAGCGACTTCATCATCAGCAGCAGCTTTCTCAGCACCACCAACACCAGCACCAGCAGCAACTCTCCCACCACCAGCAGCAGCACCAGCCGCAGCATCATCACCAGATTCCGCAACACATGTTGCACCAGCACCAGTCGCAGGCCAGCGACTTGATGGCTCTTCTCATGGGCGGCGCTCAAACGCACCGAGAGTAACTAGATGCCTTGTAATAATACATACTTCGTACCGTTATCTTCCCAATATTTTGGCATTTGACAATTGCATTTCGCTGCATCGCTATCACCGGCGCCTGTGAACTCCCGATCAATACTTTCAGAATTCTGGGCCTGCGCACCTGGTCTCGCGCGACGCTCGCTGCGACAGTGGGCGTCGCCTGGGCGGACGGAAATGATGATCAGGAGATGTGCCGAAGATGCTCCCTCGTACTGCTCCCATATGTCACTGATGACGACTCGCTTATCTCCGAGACACACCACCAGAGTCGGCGCTCCACAACAGGCTAAGGGCTGCCAAGGAGTCGACGCATGGGAAATATTGTAGCGCGGGGAGCCACCGCCAGGGCACTTCGATCGGGACGACCGCGCGGAGAGCGTAACCCTAAATCCGGCGGAACGCGGGGTTCCTCCTTGTAAGTAGCCTTGCTTACGACGTCCTCGTCGCACTACCTCTGCTGCTTGTTTAATACAAAGCAAGCCAGCGCACGTCTTCAATCAGTGATTCGGATGGAGGGATGTGCATATATGCGCGGGAAGGCACCGATTCTGAGATGCAAAATTCTCTTGGGATTCGCGTTCTGATGATTCGACGCATGTCATTCCCTGGCTGTTGGCAAGCCCAGTCCGAGGTGCGTCGGCGTTGGCAGGCTCTATTCGGCCAGGAAAAAGCGGCATTTAATATTACACTGTCGAGCCTGTTTCAACGGGCGCAGCTAGACTAAGTCCCTTGCAAGCTCTCCGGTCAACTACGCTAGTGCCTACGAAACCGGCGTGGACTTAGAGTGACGGGCGTGAAGAGAACATGGCCCGATGGACAGATAAGATGTGAATTGATCGGAGGGGATGGGAAACATCGGTCCTGTGTGCGCGTTGCGGGGCGCCCTGAGACTGTAATTTATGCCTGAACCGTAGACACAGACAGATGCACTGCCAGCGAGATCTCAACCATTCAGAGCGGCTGGAAGCACGACCAGGAAGTCTGCTGGTATGGATTACGTCTCGAAGCGTTGCATCTCATCTATCTGTGACTAACCGGTACGATCCAGCTGTTCCCAAGCAGACGAAAGGAGTTCTCTGCCTGCAGGCAGGGAACGTGTTCTCGAGTATCAAAAGTCAGACCGACCGCGAGACAGCTCGCCCTTGTTATAGACCTACCTACGCGGCCACGCTCTTTCCGCGCTGCATCCCTCGTCCCTTCAAAAGCCCGCATCCCTCCTCCGACGCGACCTTTTCCGCTCGCGCGCCTTCATCTTTCCCCTTCCTCCCTTTCCCCCCCATCCTACACCCGTGCACACGATTCGCTTCGTGGGCCATAATTTGTCTCACCCCAGTCATTCTTTCATTCCTTAATTGCCTTGTGGCCGAGGCCCCTCCCTTCAAGTTGCAATTGTACGTCTTCCTTGCTTTGTCTTCGACTAATGCTGATTCATTGCAGGCTCGAGGTGAGATTTTACTTTGTCAAAGAGGATATTGTTGGTGTGCGATGTAAAACGTGGCGGAACAGCCTTGTGGACTGGGACACGAGTTGTGATTGTGCAACCCGTTCACACAGCTCTTCACGCCCTTCACATTCCCTAATCGAGCCGTCCATCGCCCATCCAAATCGAGCTTCGGGTGATGTGATGGAATGAACCTCGGACCCCGGCACACTTTGTTTATATACTTTCTTCCCTTTTCCTCTTGACCTCTGCGTCGTCGTGCTTGCTGGTGGCATTTTCATTCCATCCATTGTTGCCGGCGGCCGCGTCTCCCATAACGACTCCCACGTTCTCCACGACTTTCCTTGCGCGACCGGCGCTGTCGTATGCTTTGTAGAACGTCGTGGGTGAGTCGGCAGCAACAAGCAGCACCTTTTTCCTTTCTTAGTTCTATCATCTCGTTCTGTTTATCGTCCCTTATCATGTCGTTTCCCGGCTTTTTGTGTCTTCGTGGGTGTGGGTCTCTGATTTCCATGTCGTCGTTGTGTTTATCTCTGTTTCCTCATCCTCCTTACCATGTCCTGTGCGTCAAGTACTGAACCTCCGTCCTCCAGCTCTCTCTCGCCTGCGACCATGAAAGACGTCACAGCCCTGCACAAGCACTCTCGAAACTCCCTCGTCTATCCCAAGAAACGGCCATCTCCTCACGGTGTCACAAAGTCCTCCCACAAGACACCCTTATTGCTTCCTGCACATGGGCCCGTCCGTAAGACGCCACGGTCAGCCAAGGCCAGCCTCGCCCATCAACGCCAGCGCGAGGCTCAGCTTCAAGCGTTGCGAAGAGATGGTGTCTTGCTCGAGGACGAGTACCGGGAGGAGATTCGCCACTATATGCACGAGATGGAGGTCAGCCGTCTAGGTTTCCTCATCTCATGAACTCGCCATGTTCAAACACTTCTGCTTTCAGCGTTTCACAACGTGTTCTCTCCAGTCCATGGACCAGCAACCGGAAATCCGGTGGCACATGCGTCCTTGCCTGGTCGACTTCCTAGTCGAAATTCACTTCACCTTCCGCCTACGACCCGAAACCTTGTATCTCACCCTCAATATCATCGACCGCTACGTCTCGCGGCGTGTCGTGTATATCAAGCATTATCAGCTCGTTGGCTGTGCTGCCCTTTGGATTGCGGCCAAGTTCGAAGATGCAAAGGAACGCGTCCCGTCCGTGACTGAGCTCGCGCAAATATGCCGAGACACCTACGACACCTCAGCGTTTCTTCAGATGGAGGGGCATGTTCTCTCGACGATCCAGTGGACGCTCGGTCACCCCACTGCCGAGGCGTGGTTGCGTTTGATGTGCACGGGGCCTTGCGTGGAGGATATCAAGGTCCAGCATGTCGCCCGCTTCCTGATGGAAATCACGCTGTTCTATCGCGAGTTCGTGAAGTACTCTCCGTCCACTATCGCTTTGGCCGCCCTTACGCTTGCTCGCTTCCTCTGTGAAAAGCCGCGACGTACATGGGAGGAGACAGACGAATGCTTCGAAGTGGTTGGCCATTTGGACAGCCGTCTATCGAAACACGTAAACGACCTGTCGGAAACGCTTGTGAAGAAGTACTCCTACGCGTTCTACTCGAAAGCGGCCACCTTCGTTGTCCAGTACTACCTTCAAGGCGGTCGCTATGTTCGTTCGACGCCGCTGCCGATGACGCCAATCCGTTCTCCCCCTTCCACTGTAGCCACCCCCATGAGTACGTCGAGTTGTGCGTCGGATCGCTCCGACGACTTTCCGATGACTCCGAACACGCCAGCCAGCGCCGGTTTCCCGACCGATCCGTTTGGCGGGTTCACGCACACGGATAAGGAAAACCTGCCATCGGTGTTTGAGCCTGCAGTGAACAAGCACCGAATTGAGACGGCGCCTGAGCAGTTCTTGCCGCACGACTTCGTGACTTGCCGACCGGTTCTACAGAATCTGAACGTTTCTCCCCGGGCCATGGTGCCATAGCATCTCGAACTCCGTCATTGTATCCGCCGTCAAAAGTTTACCAGCAAAATGTAATAACAACAGCATACACGTCGTCGCCGACATCGCACTTTTTTCCACTCTCTCCACTAGCATGCATCCACCACTGTCACTCGCAATTTCCTCTCGTCGTCGTCGTCGTCGAAACATCCTATTCTGGCAGGTGCACAATCTATCGCGAATAACGTTCGCTTGGTGTATCGCGCAGTCTCTGTCGCTTTGACGGGAACCACTATCCCCTGCCAGTCTGCGTCGGGTCCAGCGACCCGGGCATGGATTTGCCCCTATATTTTTCGCGGGCGTGCACTATAAATGACCGGCTTACACTCTCCTTCGCTCTCGTCCTATGCATTCATCCATCATCCACCATCATTTTCATCATTCCTGCACCAAAGACGACAGCTTGTACCCCTTGCTCCCTCCTTATACTTTATTCTTCATTTTATGATACATACTTTCTCCGTCTTGACCCCACCGCGTTCCTCGGTGCAAAAGTACCCACCCTTCCCTCGGCGTTCTTTCGCATTTGGTAGTCTTCCCTGCACAATATTCGTCTTTATAAATCCCTTACAATCCGCCCTGTACATACATCTTGCAAAGAATGCAATCTGTCGTCGTCCAAAAGCTACTCCGAATGTCCCGAACAGGAAAGCGGTGAGAACGGTGACACAAAGGTGTCACATGGGACTGCTCTTCTTGATTCTGTGTGTCCACTTGCAAGCCGTCGGGTAAACGTATCAATCAAGACGGGGCCGCATACTGGTCTGAATTGCGCCCGAGCCATGTGTTTTCTGGTACGGTTCCATGATTACAGATCAAGAAACAGAGAATGTCTATCTTTGGCCTTTATCTTTACATTACACGAGAATCCACTGGTCACCCTCCTGTTTAATGCCGACTGGCCGCTTCTCGTCGAGGCTGATTCTTCCCGCGTGCAAGATGGCGGTGGTAAGGACGGTGTTGGCGATGGTCGGCAGCCCGTGTTTGTCATAGTCTTCAGGAGTTGCCGTCTTGGCATTCACACTTCGCGCAGCATCAACGAACTTCTCGATCGAGATGTAGCCGTATCCGCGCTGGCCGTCAAAGTGGCCGCTCTCCGAGGGCGAGTATTTCATGCTGTGTGATCCGGATCACTATTTCACTCGAAGACCTGGCAGGATATGCTCGCTCACTAGAACGGGTTGTACCACGTCTTTCCGACGTCGTCGACCGTGACATCGTATCCCCGGTGGGCTTGGTCGACGTTGATGTCACCCTGAGGAACGTCGATTACGCATTTGCCTCAATGTAAGCAAGAGACACACCTTCTCGCCCATGTAGTAGAACTGCTGGGCCGAATGCACCCCGGCCTTGAGGGGGGCTGTCCAGCTTGCAGTGTACACGCCGGTGCCGCGGTGCCGCGAGCTCGTCGTCGATTCCCAGTCGACCATGAGCGTGATCGTGTCCTCCGTCTGCGGCACACAGTTGTACGGCTCCCCGGTGGCAATCCCGGCTGCAGCGCTGGCGACGACCCGCGTCGGCACGGCCCGGTCCTGCAGCATCCAGCAGCACACATCAATGTGGTGCGAAGAGAGATAGTAGCTGGAGGCCGGTCAGATGTCGGTAACATATCGGACAGCACTAAATGACCTGATGTCCGAGTCCTTGCCAGCCCATGCACGGAAGGTCTCCAGCTGGGCCTTGGGCTGGCTCATCCAGGCACTGAAGAAATTGAATTCACCCAGAGTCGCAGCGCGCGCCTTGGCGTCGCTGTAGACCGGGTCGAACCTGATTCTCCGTTCAATATTTTGTTGAGCACAAATATGAGCATTCCACACCGTTTGTGGTGCTCAACGAAACCTAGAAGGATACTCAGTCTCATTTGGGACACTTCGACCGCGACAAACGGGACGAACAGATAACATTGTGCTTCTTGGCCAGAGCGATCAGCTCGTTGTGGTGCGAGAGCAACTGCGTTGCCGGTTTTGTGATGAGGACGTGGATTCCCCGTTCGATTGCGTACTTGGCGATCGGGAAATGGGTGGCTTTAGACGCGAGCAGTCAGTCAATCAGCCTCCTTCTGGTGCCAAGGCACATACAATCGGGTGTGAAGACGATGGCAGCATCGCCAGGGGAGAGCTTGTCAATCGCTTCTTTATCTTTTGTAATACTTGAGTCCAATCGCTGCAGGAAATGACGAGAATCGGCACTCACATGCCTCGGGATCGACCTTGCCACCTTTCGGGAATTCGTCGAAGCTGGTGAAAGAAGCAGTTACAACGCGGCGTGTCCCACCGAATCCCGCGGAACCCACCTCAAATCCATATCTTTGTATGCGCCGCCAATATTCTCCGCGAGGTGCTGCCGAATAGCTGGGAATTTGCCGCCGTTCACCCCGACCATGCCGAGTTGGTCGACCTGCCAACAGAGACTCAGCAAGCGATCGCTTAGGAGCTCTGAGGGCGCACCTTTCCGAGGCGACGAAGATCAAACAATGTGAGGCCAACGACCTGCAGATTGGTCGGGAATAGAAGAATATACTGGAGTATTCAATGCTTACTCCTAACTAGAGATGCGGGGTCAGCAGAATCCAGAAGAAACTAAGGATACACACTTTCTTGTCCGATTTCGATGCACCGGAACCCACCCATCCGGTGGTGTACTCTCCCTAGCTAATCGTTCGACGTGGGGGGAATTCAAAAGACAATCGAACGTACGGTACCACCTAGATACGTTAGATGCAAGCAGAGAGCGCTTCATTCAGAACGCTCACACATGAGGACATTGAGTTTAGTGGAGCTGGCCATCGTTTGAACGGGAGGAAGAGAACGCAGTGTAATCTCGGATGATCAGTCTTTAACCAAGCCAGGGGAGCGGTCCGTGTGCCCTCTGCTCCGGACCGAATCCGGACCGTAGATCGCCTGCTCACGGCCCCTATTCGGGTCCAGACCGACGCGGATACTTCCTGAGTCACATGACCGCGTTGAGCTAGTGTCCGGGGGTCCGCATCCTACATTACATCAGGCCCTGAATCAAATCTGTTGGCAGGTCACACTTGTATTCCTACGGTTTCCCCGGTGTTGTGGCGTGCTCATGAAAGTTGAGCATCTGTCCGTGTGGTTGTCACGCAAGTCGAAGATTACATAAGCATAGACTCTTTCTCAAGAAGATTCGCAGCTGGTCTGTTGGTTGCTGTTGTTCTGAGACATGGAAGCAGATGCCAGAAACAGAGTGAAACCGGGACCGACCGGAGAAGATCAATGACGTATGGTACTCGGTGGCTATGCGCATCCATCAACATGACGTAGGTGGCTTAGCACGTTCTTACGCGCACAGACGACTTGCAAGCGGTTTCCACATTTCTCTTCTTTCTTCCATCTGAGCTTTTCTCACTATACCCACACTCCCCATGTCTCTAATGTCATCTGAAACACATTTCACGCCTCGACCGGAATTCATTCGCGACCCGTCTCCTACCCTCAACTCCTTCTCCCTTGTCGCCATCGCGGGCACTAGCAGCATCAAGCTTTATTCCTTCCCACTTCCCGTCGTCAACTCAGTGCGCCGACTTCTCGAACATAAGAAACTCGCCTGCGCCCTACGCGAAGATGTCGAACAGCAGATATGCGAACTTACCCTCACTGCAAAGCCGTGGTCAAGTCCCAAGAGCCTGCCTTCCGAGAAACTACTCACTGACATCCTTGCTGTGATATACCAACATGGTTATAGGCATGCCTTTCGTCCACCTCTGTCATCCTTTTCTCACCAAGCCCCTAGCTATGTATCCACCATGGACTATGGTCGCGAAAGCGACGACCGCCTCGCAATGGCATTTTCCCGTCCTTTCTCCCGATCTCTAAGCCCCTCGTCTCCTTCCGGCTCTCCAGTAGCGCCATCTCTGACCTTGAATGTCAACAAAAGGGTACCCTTTTCCCTCTCTTTCACGTCCTCCACGACACTTCGTGTCATATCTCCACCGCTTCACTCTACACCAGCAATCCTGCAGGCAGTACGTGGATCGTGGCCTCGTGGCGTGGTGTCGGAGAAAAAGGTCTGGGACAATTGCTACGAGTTCAAACTGAAGGGCTATAAATGTAAGTCCTCCATTGACATTCCTAACCAGCGATTAAATCTGTCGTAGGGTTCCACGAGGATACCTTTGCCACCGATTCTCTTCGTCATATCCTAGCGCTGCTTTCATCTCTGGATGTCCACTCATTCTCTCTCGTCGCGTCAATTACTCTGACCAAGCGTTCGCGTGTGAAGGATCTGTGGATATTTACTGGACTGGCCCCTCTCTCCGAGCCTTCGATGCAGGGATCCCCATCGACATCCCTCAACCGATTCGGCGCCAGCAGTCCGAATGCTCTGCAGAGTCAGCAATCTCTTCACCGCCGATTGGCGTCTGAGCCTGTTGCCACGAATTCGGGCACGACGTACACACATGCTCGAGCAGCGACCGATAGTCCGGATAGCCAAGGATCCGGCCTTCGGAATTCCAAGCTGCTGCGAAAGCCGGCACCCCGAGCTCAAGTTCCTGTGTCAGCTTACGAGGGCGAGGAGCGGCTTCCGGTAGCTGAGCCAGTCCGGGCTCACCTGCCCAGCGTCATTTCTGAGGGTGGTGACGATTTGACGGGAGTCGGGGCATCTGGTCGAACTCCTGACGTGTTCTATGCGACTTCTCCGTTTGGACCACACAACGCCCCTCCACTGCCCATGCGGCCAACGGATCTTCCGCACGAGCGATTCCAATCACGTTCTAATCCACCGTCGCTCGGCTCTGGGTCACATTCACCGTCGCCGAGGTCGTCTCCACATCCCAATGCAACACCCCCAAGAGAGGAGAGCCCGCATGGAGTATTCTTACACGATCACCCTTCGGGTACGGATTCCCTGTCGTACAGTGGACCACTTTTGGGTTCGAGCGCCTTTAGAGACACAACCTTTTCTGACGCCACTAATTCGACATACGCAACTGCTATACCCATAAAGTGGACGGGAGACGAACGTGAATCGGCTGCTCCTAATATTCCAGGCGGATGGCAGTCGACGCCCATCACAGAAGAACCCTTCTCCGAAGAAGAGGAGGAAGAGGAGGAAGACGACGAGGAGGATGAAGAAGATGAGGAGGATGACGACTTAGACGAGCATGATTTGCCCACCCCTGATGTTCAGCAAGTTCCCAGAGTCAATTCCCCCGACGTCCAGAGCCCAGACGTTACACTACGAAAAAGCGAAGCAGGCTTGGTCGGACTCATAGCCGCCAGCGAAACTCCACCTGTGCCCGCCGATGGCGGGAAGGGTTGGGTCCTTGTCGACATAGACGGACAACCTGGACCGGGGGACAGTTCTCCAGTCGCGCCGTCCCCAGCCACTCCAGCTCCGTCTGACCACAGCCGGAAAGCGACTCCGGCAGCCAAGGCGATCGCCGTGATGGATGCGGTCGAAGCAAAGGGGAAGTCGCCCACTGCTTCCAAGTCAGAAGGCAGCAGTCAGGTCGTCAGTGACGCTGACACGAGAAACGCAATCGATTTGGTCAAAAGCGCGACCACCGACTCGAAGCAGTCGAAGCCCAAGACCAGACTCAGGGATCGTCTTCGATTGCGAGGTTGAACTATGTACTTACTACCCACGGACTTCCATGCCCTGCATTCATTCATTACTGACATACCTTTGATATTGACTGGCTTATGATTCCACGATTTTACGAATTCTTTGTACTGTTAATGTAGACACCGGATTCGCGTTCTATTCCGTGTCAAAGTAGCGCATAAAATATGCGGCCATTTCTACGCGTAGACGGACAGACCGTGAGCTTCCTCATCGCCAACGCTCGACGCTTTGACCCTCGCCTCGAATCCTTAGATGTGGTCACGTGTGGGCCGATGAGCGATTGACGCGCAGACTGGTCAGAAAATCATCGGGTGGATAGAGAAACGGATTAGAACACCCTAGTGAAGAGGGGGAAGCAAGTAATCCTAGAGCCGAGTCGCCAGCGTCGGGCGTATAAGCAACAATTTGCCCAATTTTCGGTCATGAGTTGTGACACGCTCTGCTCCAGCCTTGACAAAAGCCACTACTCGAATTAATGCAATCTAACCACGCGCTGCATATCTGTCCCGGTATATTTTCCGCAGTACTCCTGCACGAGTGTTGACGTGGGCAGACTGTGGATGAAAGGTGGGAAACCCGGGACGGAAGCGAGGCAAGTGAGCCGTCTTGTCTCGAGAGGTCCAAGGCTGGGCTCCTTCCGGTATATGACCCATCATTTGCCTCCCCCCTCCTCTTACCATACACCCGTCCCGGATTCTCCCTAGTCACTCCCTCCTGCACATCTAGTCCCCCTCCTTCGACCGTCTCTTCCTCCTCCTGGGCTGTTAGCCCCCCCTCCCCTGTTCACTATGCCCACCTGTCGCCGCAAGAAAGTCGTCCTCACGGAGCCCTCACCGGCCCTCCTGGAAGTAGTCAAGACCAACCCCACCAAAGATGTCTTCTTTCTGCAGCAAACGGGCGAAATTTTCGAGACATACGAGTGCGTTCCAGCGTACACATCCACACCGCGCGTCCTCAGCGTCTGTTGCAGGGCATATGCTGCGCGGATGTCGTTCTACCGCCAAAAGCAGTTCCAGTGCGACGTCACCGGCAAAAGCGGGCTCGACTACTTCCAGGCCGTCCAGAGTGAAATGCAAGAAGCGCGCACCCTGCACTCTCGCTTTCCTGAAGCTCTCAAGGGATCGGTCCTCAAAGCTGTTCAATGGCGTGCGTTTGTCTCTTGTCGCGTCGCATGTCTCTAACGTCTCCCCCTTCTGCAGAGGTTGTTGGACGACTGGATCATCTGGTTGAAGCTGTCTACGAACGATTCAAAGACCGATACTTCCCATGCGAAAGTGCGTATGACAACTGTCGATGATCGCGTTTCTCTCTCATCAATCACGCTGCAGAGGTTCTCGTTGACCTGGCCGGAGTCAAGTGCGTTTCTCTCGTGCATCTCGTCCCCCGTTCTCATCCACAAACAGGTATCACGCTGAAATCCGCAAAGTCTTCCCACCCAAATACAACGACAAACCTGACGCACGCGAGGCATTCAAATCCGGCCAAGGGTGTTCATCATCAGAGCCGATAGCGGTCGACGAGCCACCCCATGCTATCGTCGGTGATCTCAAAGAGCCAGCCAAGGAGGCGAATGCCAGAGACGATCCAGCATTGTACTACTACTGGGTGCACCTCTTCGAGCCTGAAAAGGACTCCAAGCAGAAAGCTGCCGCGAAGAATGCCGAGCAGGATCCTTCTGCTGTCGACAGTTTGCGTGAAGTTCAATGCGGTGCGCTTAGGTATGTGTCTTGAGCGAATGCTGTGAGGCACCGCTGATTCCATTTGCTCAGCCGAGATCGTCTGGCGTTCTCCAAATCGATATTGAGGCGATTCATCCGTGATTGTGTCGATCGCGACCCCGCTGTCGCCTCACCGTGGACAGTGAAAACGCTTGTCGCTCAACGCTTTGGAGTGGAATACCACATGCCCGAGCAGACCAAGAAGAACGTGGAGACTGTGAAGAAAGGCGAAAGTGACAAGCGCAAGAAGGTCTGGGACGACAAAGAGCAACCGCCCACGAAGCGACAGAAGAAGCTCACAGCAGCGCAAGAAGAGAAAGGTTTCTACTACCTGCCTCTAAAACATGCTTCAGACGGCTGATTCGGACCGTAGCCGCTAAACGGGAGCGTGAAAATGCTGAGAAGGCCGAAAAACAGAAAGCAGCAAAGGAAGAGGCTGAACGTCTAGCGGCCGAGAAGAAGAAGAGGAAACCGATACGCTACCCTACTGAGGACCTTGACGTGCGAATAACTGACAAGGAAAAGAAAGCTGGTGTCAAGGTCAAACGACCAGTGCCTAATCGTATTGCTCTTCCCTTCAACGATAGTCCTGGTACATTCGAATCCTTCCTCATGGCCTGGAACTTCCTCGTGGTGTTCGGGTATCTTTTTTTCTTCTACATAAGATAGGAACTATGAGCTGATGACAGACAATAGGCAAGCTTTGAACTTGTCTCCAATAACGCTCGACGAGTTTGAGCACGGAATCCAGCACACTGTGGCAGAGGCTCCATGTCCGATGTTGGGCGAGATTCATGCCTCGCTTGTCTACAACTTACGGACAGTCCCGTTCATTCGACACAGCGCATTGCTCTCGCTGCTTGGGCATAATCGAGAGACTGGCATGGACGAGATCGTGTTCGGGATTTCCTTGGACGAGCTGACCGCAGCAATGGCTGAAGTTGGCAACAATTGGGAGAGAGTCCCACTGCGACATTCCGACAATCGCAGTGGATGGGAAGATGCCCTTTTCGGCTGTCTGAAAGACGTACGCTACAGTCTTCACCGCGCCGCTTGTTCTGAATTTCAAGTGCAGCACGCGACTTTGACCAACTTTCCGACAATTCGTCAGGTCTTGACGAGACTGTTATTCGCCCCAGACCCCTCCTCTGAAGCATGTCCTTCGTTGTTAACACCCACGCTTCAAGTGGTCTCGTCTCCAGCGGAAAGATACCACTCTTTGCCTGCTGCTGACCGAATCGCCATCCTGTCATTCATGGCGAACCTTGCCACATCGAGTAAAGCTGTCCATGGTCATTTGGAGCTGTGCGAGGAGCAGTTGACAGCATTGCGAAAAGAAAAGATTGAGGTCAATCGGCTCAAAAAGCAATAGTCAGCACAGCTTTGCATTTATTCCTTGGAGTCCAACTCATCTTTGTCCAGTGCTGAGGAAATGAACGTTCTACGCGCGGAAATGAAAGAGAACGGGGCAGATGTGCCAGAGCCAGAAGTGGTGCTGCCTGACTCGAGCGATCTTTCAGACGTTCCAGGAGAGGAGCCAGCACCCAAGAAAATGAAGCCGACGAAACGAGACACAGCACGAGCGAAGCAAGCCTCGCTCAAGCAGGCCACGGCAGACCACAGGCGGTTAGACGAAGAGATAAACAAGTTGGAGCGCCGACTCGAAGGCATAGAGCGTGATTTCCGCAAGCTTTTGTCCACTGTACGGGTCCGGCCTCTGGGGAAAGATCGGTTCTTCAATCGGGTCTGGTGGTTCGACGGCATTGGCTCTGGCTCGCTGGTAAACAATGGCGGCGTGAGCCAATACGGAGCAGGGAGAGTCTTCATCCAGGGCCCCAGCGAGCTGGACCTGGAACTGCTGAAGAACAGGACTGAGGATAACGTCGAGGAGCGCCGTAAAGAAGAAGAAGGGATCGAAGGCATGCTGGGGCCTTCTGACTGGGCAGTGTTCTCCGACCAGGAGGAGGTGAGTATCTGGTGGCCAGTGAGGGAGAACGCAGTCTGACGCTCTACGTGCAGTTGGATGAGTTCATGGCTTGGCTCAATTCGAAAGGGAATCGTGAAGTCGCATTGAAGGGCTCCCTGACAAAATGGTGGCCACACATTCTTTCTGGAGTGAAACGTCGTATGGCTGTGCGTTGCGGCATCGTTCCGTCGAGCAGTTGTACTCATCCACGCCCAGGACATCAATGCTTCTGCCCGCCTGCCCGAAGCCCGACGCAGCACACGCGCCAAGGCTGCTTCAGGCTACGATGTATCGAGAGAACCTTATATGCTGTGGACAAATCGGAAGGCCACATCAGCACCAGCCCCTTGAACAGATTGTTCGTAATAGACCTGTATCCTTCGTGTAATTCCAATCATAATGCCATTCGTTCGCCGAGTTCTGCAAGTACAGGAAATACAAAGTACTAGTTGGCACCGTGTGCTATGACCTTTGTTAGCTCTGCAAGATGCATCAGCAACCACTCAATTCTGATTCGAGGGAATGCATACGGGGAAGCTTGATATTTTCTTGGAGGACAACCGATTCGATTTGGTTGTCGGGATTTGGGGGAATAGTCACAACATCGGACTCGACTTTCCACTCCTTCTTCGAGACGAACCCGGCGAGATCCGTGCCTAGAGAGGATAAGATGTCAATAATTTGATACGCAAGGAAGTGAACGAACCACTCAGATTGAGGTAGGATCCTAACCGCTCAGTGGAGATACTCGTGAACGTGGCCTTCACCGCACGAATGACAACCTCTCGCACGGCATCTTCGAATCCCGACACTTCCACAGTGTAGTTGTCTCGGAGCGTCTCCAGCTCGTCCGAGTTGTACACCTGCCAGAAAGCGGGGAAACGACATCGGTACAACAGGTCGTGGAGCTGCTTCAAGGCAGGGAGGAGGGTGGGAAGTGGGTCGGGTTCGTCGAGGGTGGCGTTGATCGGCCTCTCATCGAGTAGACTGATACACAGGTTGAAGTCGGGAAGTGGGGAAGCGGTGAGGGCTTTGAGGAGGATGTTGACGACAACATCGGGATTGTACAGGTCGGGATTGAATTGGTACAGTTTTAGAATCGCGAGGTTAGCCAGACAGTCGTATTCCTGACTACGGATTTGGTGGTAGAGGTAATCTTCGAGGATTCCAACGTTCGATGGGTTGTATCTGTCTATTTGATCCCTCTCAGTTTGATAATAACACCTGCCCTAGATTGACTGACCGACGCCGGAAACAAGGTCTTCGATGAGATCTGTGCGCGTTGCAGGTGAGACCCAAGCAGCAGCCATTGCGTATGATAGCAGCAAGATGAGAGATGTCGACGAAAAATTGTGGGCACGTGACGATCTATTTTCCTCGCGTCCACTACAAAATGGACGCCGCAGTTGAGTCCATGGATGTCGATTCTACGCGTCCGAATGCCCCGATCTCCCCGGACGCGAAGGAAGCAGGGACGAGCTCTTCGTCCAGAGAGATACCTCCTACTCCTTCTCCAGCGACACCCTCTGGCCCCCGGTACAAACTCGCGTTCAGTCTCAGTGGCCATACCAAGTCTATATCTTCCCTGAAGTTTAGCCCAGATGGGAGTAAGCTCGCCTCGTCAGGTTTGTCGCGCGCCGATCCCGGGCTTCAATGATAATCAGTCGGATCGAAAGGTAGGCGCGGACAAGGTCATCAAAGTCTGGGACGCGTACTCCGGTGGTGTTTTGCGCACACTAGTGGGCCACACTGAAGGCGTATCTGATATTTCTTGGTCGGTTGACGGCGATTATCTGGCCTCTGCATCAGACGACAAAACGATACGCGTGTGGGACATGAAAGTGGTCAGTGCGTTTGGGGTTATGAGTGTATTCATTGGCATTAACCTTCCGCCGTATGTAGGGAACTGAGATCAAGACGCTTCTGGGACATACCAACTTCGTCTTCTGCGTGAACTACAATCCGGCATCTAATCTCTTGGTCTCAGGAGGATTCGATGAGACAGTGAGGATCTGGGATATCGCAAGAGGCATTTGCTGGTCTGTTCTATCGCTCTCTAAGCACGCTCATGATTTGTTCAGCAAAAGCTCTCAAAGTACTTCCTGCTCACTCTGATCCTGTGACTGCGGTAAGCTTTAATCACGACGGAACGCTTATTGTATCATGTGCCATGGATGGGCTAATGTGAGCTGGGCCTTTTTCACTTCGGACAGAGAGCACTCATTCTCACGAAGACGCATCTGGGACGCTGAATCCGGGCAATGCTTGAAGACGTTGGTTGATGACGACAATCCGATCTGGTCTGTTTCCTTATCGCTTTCCGGGAGCCTGAGCTGATTGGCCTTCAGCTCTCATGTGCTGTTCACGCCGAATTCAAAGTTTGTTCTGGCCTCGACGCAAGACTCGACGATCCGGCTGTGGAGTTATCACGCCTCTCGCTGTGTCAAGACGTACACCGGCCATACCAACAGAACGTATTGTATATTTGCGTGTTTCACGAACACTGCCACGAAACATGTCGTGAGTGGGAGCGAAGATTCCAAAGTGTACATTTGGGATCTGCAGACACGCCAGGTGCTGCAGGTGCTGGGAGGTCATCGAGGTGCATGCCTTCTCCCTCGCTGTTAGTCAGTTGTGTGACTAAGGAAACAGATGTCGTACTGGCAGTGGCGGTTTGTTCCGCGCCCCATTATTTCTCGGCTAGGTATTGATTCCAAGATAGGCGCACCCGACCAAGGCCATTATCGCATCCGCAGCGATGGAGAAGGATTTGAGCATCCGACTTTGGTTTGACCGCAGCGACCCAAGCATGACAGATAGCCCCGAGACTGCGGTTGCCGATGCATAAGCATGACTGTAACAGAGTAGTATCCCTTGGTCATTTGTTCCCGGCAATTCTGGGCTATTCCGTGTGATGCTGTGCTTGAGTCATTATGATCACATGTGATCGGTATCCCGGGGTATATAAGACACCCCCACCTGTCTCCTTATCTCAACCCACACCTTTCTCCCTCACACACCCACCTCTTCATAATGCAAATCTTCGTTAAGACCCTCACCGGAAAGACCATCACCCTCGAGGTCGAATCCTCAGACACCATCGACAATGTCAAGGCCAAGATCCAAGACAAGGAGGGGTGAGTGGCAACCGTATCAGGCCTCGTCTCGCCCGGTGCTGATAGGCCAACAGTATCCCCCCTGACCAGCAACGTCTTATCTTCGCCGGCAAGCAGCTCGAGGACGGTCGCACTCTCTCGGATTACAACATTCAGAAAGAGTCTACCTTGCACCTTGGTACGTCGTTACCATGATGCTCGCCGCCTGTCCCTTACTCACGTCCCTATCAGTCCTCCGTCTGCGTGGTGGTATGCAGATCTTCGTCAAGACTCTGACCGGCAAGACCATCACCCTCGAGGTCGAGTCCTCCGACACCATCGACAATGTCAAGGCAAAGATTCAGGACAAGGAGGGCATCCCGCCTGACCAGCAGCGTCTCATCTTTGCCGGCAAGCAGCTCGAGGATGGTCGCACGCTGTCCGACTACAACATCCAGAAGGAGTCCACCCTTCACCTTGGTGCGTGGCCTAGGTCCCTTCCGTAATCCGGTTACTTATGTCGGCCCTAGTTCTCCGACTCCGTGGTGGAATGCAGATCTTTGTCAAGACCTTGACCGGCAAGACCATCACGTTGGAGGTCGAGTCCTCGGACACGATCGACAACGTGAAGGCCAAGATCCAGGACAAGGAGGGTATCCCTCCCGACCAACAGCGGTTGATCTTCGCGGGCAAGCAGCTTGAGGATGGCCGTACCCTTTCCGACTACAACATTCAGAAGGAGTCCACCCTTCATCTCGTCCTTCGTCTGCGTGGTGGTATGCAGATCTTCGTCAAGACTCTGACCGGCAAGACCATTACCCTCGAGGTCGAGTCGTCTGACACCATCGACAACGTGAAGGCGAAGATCCAGGACAAGGAAGGCATTCCTCCTGATCAGCAGCGTCTGATTTTCGCCGGCAAGCAACTCGAGGACGGTCGGACCCTTTCGGACTACAACATCCAGAAGGAATCCACTCTCCACCTCGTCCTCCGGTTGCGTGGTGGAATGCAGATTTTCGTGAAGACACTCACGGGAAAGACGATCACGCTGGAGGTCGAGTCCTCGGACACGATCGACAACGTGAAGGCGAAGATTCAGGACAAGGAGGGTATCCCTCCCGACCAGCAGCGCCTGATCTTCGCCGGCAAGCAGCTTGAGGATGGCCGTACTCTCTCTGACTACAACATTCAGAAGGAGTCGACCCTCCACCTTGTCCTGCGTCTCCGCGGCGGCAACTGAGGGCTTCTCGCATCGTTTTGTAATCTGTAATCCTACTATCACACGTCGCAATTTAACAACATTCATTGGGTTGCATCTTTTCGTCAACTGAGTACGAGTAAGGACTATTGAGACACGGTAACGAGGGACGGGTGAATATATTAGTCTACAGACTGGGTTACAGAAGCATCTGTGTCCGTGGCCTTTCTTCTTCTTTTGCGTTTCTTTTTCATCTCAGGCTCAGCTTGCGATTCCTGTGCTTCCTTTACATCCTCTCGCTTTCTCTTCTCTCCTACTATCGCAGTTTCACTACTCCTTGGTTTTGTTGTAGCCGCCGGTTTAGGATCGGGCTTTTTCTTCTTCACGCTAAGTGGATTAGGCCCTTTCGGCCCTTTGCGCTTCTTGGGGACAGGCCCGGCATCCGATTGCGGTTTTTCGGATCCTGTCGCATGCAAAGCCTTTTCTTCAGTCTGTGGGATGTGGTTGTCAAACAGCGAGACAAGACAACGGATGGAAGAATCCATACGAGTGCTTTGCTTCGCAGTGTAGCGTCGCTTGGAGGTTCCAAGATCATAACGGAACGGTTGATGTGCAGAATCGGAACACCGGGTATACTCCGCAGTTGCGAGCGCAGGGTCTGGGATTGTGTCGCGACGACGTAGCGGTGCTTGTTCATTTCCCCTGCAGACAAAGTTATGATTGATCGTAGATTACTGGACGAGGCGTCCACGCACCAACGACACTCGCTAGACACTCGTCCCCCGGTATCGGTTCGCGATGATTACACTTCCTTCGCTCGAATAGTTTCGCGAGGTCGACAGCGGGCTGATGCGATTTACCGCGCAGATACAGCTCGTGGATGCAGCATTGAGTGATCACTAGACAGTGGCTTGCGCCATAACTGAGCGTGCGATTCGACAGGCATCTATGGCCGCTTACTGGGCTTCGTCTCGCCTTGAAGAGCAGTCGAGATTTGTTTTCCGAGTTCGGTTTTCGAGTCTGCAGCCAGTTGGCACATTTCAGAGTCCACTGGACTCTAGATTGAGCGTGTGCTGCATAGTCCCAGGGAGTTTTTGTATACCAAGGACTTGATAGGGCTGTCGAAAGCCGAATGACATGGAGTAGAGAGCCATGAGCTTCCGATATGCCTTTGCGCGCTTTTGTCTCATGATGAGTGATGTCGAGAGAAGAGATGTGTTGACCTGTGTTGACGCGCCGATCTCTGCTGCTAACTTGCGTGCTGACACGATGAAATTCTACGCGCTTATTCTCGCGGCCGTCAGGTCAGTCTCAGTCGCGTCGATCTCTGCACTTATCTGAGACCTGCTTGGTGTAGCCTATGGAGCGCAGTCTTCGCTGCGGACGTGTCAGGCCGCCTGCAGTTCAATGAAGCATGGCCGGGTGCGCAATCCTCGTTCGCAGACACTCTTACCGTAGACTGAGGATCGGGGTAGACCTGAAGTCTTTGGGCTCAGCGCAAGTCATCCTGGACTCCGGAAGCCATAAGGCCAACGTCCTTCGTGACGGAAGTTTCACTATGTGTGTATACGAATCTGTTGTCCCAGTCCATTTTAAGATATTCTCTGCAGTCCCGACGTTCCGGTTGGAACATATATCCTCTCTGTCGTTTCTCATGACTTCCTGTTCGACAATGTGGGCCCTATATTCGATCAGACTGGGCAACAACACTTATGCACCCCAAGTTACGCATAGACATTCCAGACGGCTCGAGCGTCGAAATCCGACCGTACTCTCCGGGAACACCTCTGAATCCTCCTTCGACGATACTACTGCCACAAATCTCGCTTTCCCCGAGGGCGAAACTCGAGTACTACGTGCCACCGCAGTCATTCAATCTGGTCGGGATGTTCCAGAATCCGATGATGCTCATGCTCGTTTTCGGGGGTCTCATGGTGTTCGCCATGCCTTATCTCACGGTTGGTCATCGTGCTCCGGTGTTTTCTTGCCTCTGATCCTAATGGCTGCTCAGAAAAATCTCGACCCGGAGACGATGAAGGAATTCCGGGAACAGCAGGCGCGTGTCTCGAGCATGCAGAGTGCGATGGCAAGCGGGGATCTCAAAGCGGGGTGAGCACGAACACACTGTGGTCGCGATGAAACGCTTATGATCGTAGATTGTCTGCTCTCGTTAGTGAAGATGCCCCCAAAGCGCAGCCTGCACCCGCGCAAGCGGGCGGCGGGAAGAGTCGCAGCGGCAAGAAGGCACGGCGGTAGCTCGTTCCTCCGTATATGTATCCTCGTGATGGGACAACTATTAGATTGGTTGTATTAATGATATCTGCTGCAGAACTTAATAGTGAACACCGGGACGTGCTTCACTCGGATTCATTGGGATACCATCGATGACTTGCTGCGTTTCGAAGGATGATGGTCGCTTGTAGAGATTCATGACCTTTCCTCGTGGTTCTCAGGATCTCCGTCGACCCGTCCTAGCTGCTTGGCTGTTGCTGTCGGGTACTCTTCCCTTTCATCCACCCTTCACAGTTTGCTTCAACCCCCCGCTAGGGGCAACGCAGCAGAATAACAGAAATAGATTCGTCTCTGGAGCTTCCGCATTGAAGTACTTTGAGAATGGATACTCCACTCGGCCTCCTGCTGCGTACAAGTTGTTTGCGTGTCCTTTTTTGCGGGGTAGAAGTGACATCCGCAGTGTGGATCCGCGATGTCACTTGAAGACAATAATATACCGAAAAGTCGCGCTGATAACCCTCTGCACCGAATCCTCTTCGGCGGTACCACGAACCTCGCACGACTTCGCCGGCTCGCATCATTTGCACGTTTACTTAAATCTCAATAAGATAGCCTTCCGAAGTACCAGCTGAGATATGGCCAGTATCTAAATTCTGCTGCTGCTGAGACGCAAATGAAAGGGATCCAAGCGGACCATGAACGAGGCATACGACGGTGGCTTTTAGCTCCGTCAACCGATTGCATGGCCATGGGCTCGAACGCAAGGGATAGCACCCAGCGTAGCCCCAGTCTATGCGCCACAAAAATATCCTTACCGTCGAGGATAATGTTCGAAACATTGAGATCTCCGTGAGTGAAGACTCATGTGCCAATCCGCGTCTTTTCTTTCTGGCTTCGGACTGGATCTATGTAGAGAATTCCGTTCTACGAACGATAACCACTCCCCATGTCGTTCGAAACTAGAAAACGAATCAAACATGCGTTCTTCGTGGTTAAACCATCAGACCGGAAACGGCGCCGTCTTCCAGATTTCCCAATGTACCAGGGTCAGCCGGTATGGCGTGGAGCTTTGACGTAGGACCGCAGGTTCCAAATGTCCCTGAAGCTGAAAGTGTCCTGGCATTCGTAGATCGTATACGACCAAGCACATGGTTATCACCGGTCCTCCGGCCGGCAGCAGATGCCGATAGTTCATCTGGGGCACAGGAATGGTGGCGTTTTCGGGCACGAAAGACATGGCAGCAACCTCCCTGTAGATACGTCATGTTTCACTACCAGCGCAGGGTGAATCCGGTCGATCGCGCCCATGACGTCGAACATAGATTTCAAACTCTCTGCAAAATCTCTGTTGCAAGTGCCGGCTTCCGGGCTTTGAGCCAAGGCGTGATGATCTCCGACACCGGAAATCATGGGCAAGTCAAAATCTGCTTGTTCTTATTCTGGCCTGGAAACTCACGGCAACGCGACTAGACTGCCAAAGACGTCCACAATCCAAGATGCAGGGCTGTCCATCATTGTTTCGGGGTGTCTTTCCCTCTTGCGAGAGAGGCACAGCGTTTAGACTAGATAGAGTAATCAGCCACGGAACTTGGTACTATGCAGCAGGCGCTGACCGATTTCACAGACAAAGTCTCGATATTAGTCGCAGAGAGATCACAATTAAAGAAAAAGCCGACATCTGTTGCAGCGGCCAGTAAAAGTGACGAAGATTCGGCTTTGCGATGTTCATTCTCCGATGGACCGAAATACGTCGTGCCGACTGTCAGCTTTGCTCCCGGTAGAACGAGCAGCCCATGCTCCGCTTCATCCAACCGAGTGGGGGCCACAATCGTGTCGAAGACAAGAACATTCAGATCGACCGAGCGTATGGGTTCATCGACAAACAGGAGCTCATACTCTTTCCTCCTTTTGACGGTGCCGTCAAGCAAGTCCAGGGAATTATGGAATTTTATGACGTGTGCCGCGGACTCTGCCGCCACATGCGTGGGATAATCCATGATGAAAATGAGTATTTTAATGAACATGGCGGCGAAGGACGAGTACACAAGTGACCACAATGTTGATTTGAACAGTTTCGATGATCGGCGGGTGGTAAGGAATAGTGGGCACAGCCACTGATTGCTTTCGCTGCAGGTGCGGTGCTTCGTCGCAACCAACTCTGATTAGGCTCTACGGTAGTCGTTACCCGCCATGATGATTTTCGCATAAAAGATTGATCACTGATCACCTGCCTGTGTCACTATTCCTGTGACTGGACCAGAAAACACTATTGACCCTATACCGTCGCGCAACACGTGATGATGGCACATCCCTGATGGGCGGCTTTCCCGCGCGATTTGTACCCTATACAGTGTCATCGTCGCGAGGACTTGTGCGTTTTGAGCGCAACAGAGTGTAGATTAGGTATCTAGACTGGACATAAGAAAAGATAATGATTGGTAATCCCCACGTGATCTGTCTTTGTTGATATCTACCAAAATAGCTTGATGCATTGGAGGAACATGGCCGGAAATTCGTTGAAGACATGCGTCGAGCCGCAGACATAGTTGAAGGTCAACTTGGTAATGTCGAGGGCTCCCAGATCCTTCTGCGCAGTCTTAAAAGGTGGAAGATCGGGAATGACGTAGGTAAATTTGTTACTGACTTCCGGCACTCAAACGAGACTGGACGTGTGAAGCGGTCGGTCTGGGGGATCAATGGGAATGCAGCCGAAAGGCGCTACAGCAATAATACCATGGGCGCCAGTCAATCTTGATCGTAACAATTATTTATCTTGTAATTGATCTTATCTATCTCTTATCCACACTCTGTTGTGCTCAAAACGCACAAGTCCTCGCGACGATGACACTGTATAGGGTACAAATCGCGCGGGAAAGCCGCCCATCAGGGATGTGTCATCATCACGTGTTGCGCGACGGTATAGGGTCAATAGTGTTTTCTGGTCCAGTCACAAAGCGTCAGGAATAGTGACGCAGGCAGGTGATCAGTGATCAATCTTTTGTGCGAAAATCATCATGGCGGGTAACGACTACCGTAGGCTCTGATAGAGCAACGTTACAGCACACATGGACTGGGGAATCCATGATCGGGCTGCAAGTCTGATTTTCCAGATTGCTGACTGTCAGTAGTAACGTGTTTTCTTACTACTACTGGGAATTGATTTACGATAGGCGCTCTATGCGACGCTGCGAAATGAGCACTACAAGTCGAATTTAAACATCCGCGGATGCGGAACTCCAAACTGAATCGGCGCTAATCGGTTCTTCGGCCTCGGCTAAAGCCGTTGATGGAATTGATCGCAGGAACAGTACGCTGCATCAAACGAACCTTTGTCTCACACACCGAGTCTCGCAAAGGACCGACTGCCAATCTCTCTCCGGGCCACTCTTGCTTCCGTAGTATGAACTGCTGATTAACTATTGACCTCCGACACTCACATGGCTTCACCACGCTCTCCCCACACTCCTTCCGCCGTCCAGACCAAATCCGCCAAACCTTCACTGCTCCCCACGGCCAGGCGCCCATCTCTTTCTACACCGGGATCCTCCTCACCTCCGACCAATGGACATCCACCTTCAGGATTCCGCTCCTTGCGTTCCCTACTCCCGTTCGGCCCGAAAAGTACGCCCTCCAGTCCTGGTGCCTCATCACCACACCCGAGTGGTTCTCGTTTCGCGTCCTTCTCACGGCGCTCGATGCACCGGGATAGGAATGTCTCTGCTTCTGTGACGGAGCTTCCGGTCATGGTTATCGATCAAGCGTCTCGTAAACAATCCGTCGATATCCCCATCCGAAAGTCTATTTCACTGGGGGCAGCTGGGACGAGGGACCTCTCGACAAGTGCAAAGGCCACGTCGTTGGATCTGGGGTCTCCGAACAATGCTACCGGCGCTCAAGACCCATCCTGTGTGTTCTATATCGATATCATGTCTCTGAAAAGCTAAAACTCTTGTTTTGTCAAGGGGGAAGAAGGAATATGTTGGACACGAGGAAGAGCCTGGACCAGCTTCCTACAGGTATGTTCTTGTATATGCTCGCGTCTTGTGTCTGTTTCTAAGGAACGGTCGTCATTATAGTTGCCAACAATTCTTTCATCAGAACACCCTCTCCCCTACCCGATCTCTCGACGATCATCGAGGCAGACTCGTCCGGAATCTCGAAACACTTACCTTCAGCCTCTGCCTCTTCATACTCGTCTCCATCTGGCTCACCCTTGCCCTCTGCTTCTTCCGACCACAAACTCGTTGCTGACGAGTCTTCCGCATTGGACTTGTCCACTTCCCAACTGGATGCCCAAGTCATGGATGCATTGAAGGCGCAAGAGTCAGCTGCTTCCGGAACCCAGAACTGGCTTGAGATCGAGAGCGAATCTCATCAATTACCTCGTGCAGGGGACGACAGCTTCAACTTGAGTGCACTGGACCCCGACCTCGCAGCTCTGCTCAGTCCGAACCGGATAGCAGCCTCTGATACAAATGAAACTCTCAAACCCAAGGATGGGGAAGCCATGGACACAGGCAACTCTGCTCCCTCTAGCCTTAGAGCTCAGCACCAGTCTTCTCGACCAAGATTACGCCCTGCACAACATCCTTCTCCCCCGACGACTGCTGTCCGACGGTCTGTCTCAGGTTCGTCCAGCACCGGTGCATCGACTCAGCGACCGCCGCCTTCTCTGTCGATGCCCCCATCCCCCGTTTCTCAACCTCTGCCTGCTTCGTCGACACCGGCTCCTCGACGAACACAGCCGACATCGATGACTACGCCGCAAGTTGTATCACGACGGCCGATGCTCGCACGAATGCTACAGTCTGAGGGCTGGGATGGCTCATCACATGACTTGCGGCCGCCGTCAGTGGCTGGATCGCGGAGTTCATTCGATACAGCGCGGCACAGGCCGTCACTGGACATCCAGCGTCGTGTCGATCCTGACGATTCACCGGATCGCGACTTCTCGGTTGCAGGCAGCGCATCTTCATGGAACCTGAAGATGCGAAGGACGCGCCGACGGAGCATGAGTGTGGACGAGAAGAACACATCTCCGAGTCGCTTTGCGTCTCCATTCAGGGATATGCGACCTGGAACCAGCTTATCGAATCGGCCGGAATGGCTGGGGCCTCGGACTGCGAAAGCGTTCCGGGCAGCAGGTCTCTTGCCCGATTCGGATGAGACCCCCCCTTCACGTAGTGCGTCTCGTCTTGGCCCGCCATCCTCCGGCACGATCAGTCGCAGAAGAGGAAGCGGCAGTGCAAGTTACTTTGGCAGTGCTGGCAGCCAGCTCATGGAAAGCCCGACGTTGACGCTGTCGAGCAGAGACACCCCGAGATCGGCGTCGACCGCACCCACATCAGTCTCCGGGGCATCATGGGAGCCCGACGAGCTCAGGGAACTCAAGGACAAACACTCACTTGAGACCGGTGCGCTGCTCAGCGCTCTATCCGATTCCCAGCGGACGACGAAAATACTTCGCGACGAAAACTCGGAACTCCGGGAGCGCATCAACAAGCTCGAGCTGCAATTAGACCGGATCGAGCCTCTAGAACGCGAGAATCGTGTTCTGCATGAAATATTGACTGAACTGCGGGAGGAAGCTGGCCAACTGAAGCTTCAGCTTCGACTGGGCGCTTCTCCTCGAGGCCCAGTCAGCACCGAGGCATTCCGTCGGGCTCATCGGTCCAACGAGTCTGGTTCTCGACTGAACGAGTCTCCCCGGAGCCGGGACGGAGACGTCTCAGAGGACTCGCACTACCACCTTGCTGTCCCGCGCAAGCGGCTGAGCTCGTCCTCGTCTGTTTTTCCCCTTCCGCCGGCGAATATGTCTCTTCTCCTGCACGAGGATGGGGGCACTTCGAGTGACTTTGATGAGCGTTCTGCTCTGTCTGTCGGGATACCGGGATCGCCCACTCTGGTATTCCCTCGGGTCTCCCCGGACCCGCCTGTTCGCACTCACCGTGCCAATAAGTCTATTGCCTCCAGTGTGACGACCGACCCGGACGCGTCTATGTTCGGCAGCCCCCGCAGCCTTTCATTGCGCCCGGAGCATGAGATGCATCTCGGGGATATGGACAGCCTCGATCTCCTGCGTGCGGGCCCTGAAGAGGACTGGTCTGAGTGATTTCACTTTAGTATTAGTACATGGTTAATTATTCTACATTGTATGTTGTGCTTCATACTATATAATTACGGGAATCAAGATTCACCCGACGGTCTGGTAGGCCCCGGGTACAACAACGCCTTGCGCAGGACTGCGTTGCTAAGCCCGGCGATAAGTGGCTTGATCAGCGCAGAATGTAGCGCCTACCGTTGTTTGAACTGTGATAGCACGGTCAGCGCCGGTCTCCGCTCACTCAGGGAGCCCTCCATGGATCTGTCGTTCCGAAACGTAAATACGCGAGCGCCTAAAATAGACACCACAGACTTGTCTGTTGCGCTCGTGGTTTCAATGATGAACATACGATCGTTGCGCTCTGGGTCGCCTTCATCAGCGGCAGCTGCTGCTGCACCCGGGGCTTCCTCCACGGAGACATCGGTGACCGCAACCGAAGGAGAAATGCTTTGGATCGTTGGCAGAGTCTCCGAGTGTGGATCATAGTCGAGCACAAGCACTTGCTCGCCTTGGTTGGGCACGAGCGAGTGGGGCGTGTCGTCCGTGTACTGGTATTGAACTGAAGCGTGAACAAGTGGTAACGCAGAAGACGGTGTGAGCGAGCTTTGTTGGCGGACAAGAACGTAGTGAGGTGGTTGCATCCCGACGAAACAGTTTGAGCACTGGTGTTGGCGGCGGCGAGCGCGTGCCCAGAACCAAATTGGAGACCGAGACCATCTGCATCAGTGATCGGTTCGGCATCACCCCATGTGGGTCTGTATTCATATCGCAAGCTGGAACTTTACTGGAACCTCAACGTCGTCAGGGACTCCCAATCTTTCGTTCTTTCTCCCCACCCTCTTTTTCTCTCATGGCGCGTCTCATTTCTTTGGTTTTGGTTATTGGTCTTCTCCCCAACTCGCTCGCTGGTCCCGCGTGTGCTTCGAAGTACAAACAGGTTGGAGACTGCATACAGATGTGCGGTCAAAAATGGGGTGAGTCTGAACCCGCATCCTTGCTTTCGCCTTTTCCTGACGGTTCAGGTTGGCCCGGTATGATGATGGGCACCGACGCGTGGGGGTCAGTGATGCGACCAAGCACGGACTCGATGAGCGATTACATTGCTAGTGCATGCGGCGAACAGAGGTGCGCGGCTCCTCTGCCTGTCTCGAAAACAGAGGTTATCTGACGTGATGCGTTAGTGCGACCAGCTCCGTGGCTAGCACTTCTACATCAGCCTCTTCCTCGGCAACCGAGGCGGCAACGAAGCTCATCCATGGCGGACTGGCCACTGAGGCTGTCACCACTTCGTCATCGACTTTCAGCTCGACTTCTTCATCGACCACTTCCTCATCTGTCACTTCGACGAGCATCTCGTCGACTTCTACCCACACGACAATCTCTTCGAAGACCACGACCTCCTCGACTTCCACACAGAAAACTACCACCTCCTCGTCCACAACATCCACTACGTCCACGACGCACACGACGCCCCCTGCGACGACATCCAAGCCCCCTCCGCCGCCGCCAAAGACGACCTCGACCACTTCATCAACCACGCAACAGCAGACTACGACGTCTACTGCAGCTGCCCCCACCAAGACTGCCGCGCAACTCAAGCTCAACTCGGCGAACACGAGCAATGCAGGGAATGCGAATTCCAGCAACAATGGCGGAGGCAATGGCAGTCGGGCGTCGAATGCCGATGTCCAGGCTTATCTTACCGCTCACAACTCGATCCGGTCTCAGCATGGCGCGGTTCCTGTGGCTTGGAGCAATGCTGCTGCCTCCAAGGCCCAGTTCTGGGCGGACAAGTGCACCAACACTCACTCTGGCGGCACTCTCGGACCCCTCGGAGGTGCGATAAAGTCCTCTGTATTATCTTGCACTCCGCTGATTTTGAACTTGTAGAAAATCTTGCGGCCGGAACTGGTTCGTTCCCCATCGCGGATGCTGTCAAGGCGTGGACGGACGAAGTTTGTGCGTATTGTCCTTCGTGGAGGTTCTCCCGCATTGCTGACCTGATAAACATCAGCCGATTTCGACCCAAACAACCCGAAAGCTTCGCACTTTACCCAGGTCGTGTGGAAAGCGAGCACCCAGATCGGTTGTGCCGGTAAATCTAAGGGACTACGGGACGTGCAGAATAACTTACCATTCTCTAGTTCAAACTTGCCCCGACATCTTCCCTGGCTTCGGCGTAAGTGCTTATCTCGATCTAAATATCCACTGTCTGATGACGATCAGTCTGCTCAATACTATGTATGCGAATACTCCGTGCAGGGCAACGTCGAAGGCGAATTCGGGTACGGAAATCTCTCTCTTCTATCTCTGCTCACGTGCTGATCTGCTGCAGAGCCAATGTTCAGAAGTAGAGGTTGTGATGCTGGGTTGTGGCCGTGGTTGTTGTCGGCCGTCCATTCCTTTGATTCGAGACTCTGGTGCCATGTTGATAGTCCAGCTGGGATGGGCTGCAATTTCAATACCATTACAGTGTTGTATGGGTGTATTTTTATGCTTAAGAAGTATTTGGGAACTCGGTCATCCTTTTGGTACCGTGCTACTTGGTTCACTCTGAAGTCATGTGGATTTTTGGTGATCAAAGCCATTGGAATGCTCGACGAATGACACGTGATGTCCCGTCCAATAGCCCGCATTCTTCAGTGAGACTGAGAGATTTTGGTCTGGAATGCACAAGTTAATATCAACGCGACATTGAACGCGCATACACGACAACAAGAGAAAAGTCTGCACGCACGTGAGTGTGACTACACGCGAATGTCAGTCTGATGGGATCACAGTTGCGCTACAAGCACTGGCATTAGCTCTTGTGCCCGGCCACCATGCGCAAGCTCTTGAGAATCCTCCTGAAACTTGTTCAGCTGTTTCTTCTCTTTCTCATCTGTATCGCAGTTGCTCTGTCTTGCGTTGCACTCCTTGGGCAAGCCGTGCGCCATTCGCCCAACCAGACGTGGACGGGAAACTTCAATGCCGTCATCATAGGAGGGTCGTATGTCTTCGTCGTGCGTATCGGCGTCCCAAGCACGAGGAAAATCAGGGTCTAAATGCAACCAGCTAATTATATCGTTGCTCTTCTGTGTCAAACGACGACTAGCTGTGCACTTGCGCATGCAACGGATTACGAAGGCACATCGAATACTGCGGCGCGGAGATATTCCGAACGTGCGCACACCTTTTACCGCATGATTTCTCCGTCTCGTCTGATCCTGTGAAGTCTGTTCATGAGTATATCACGCAAGAGTACATCCGCACTTGTTTGGTAGCGCATGACTCCCTACCGACGGATGTGTTCCATCCAGGATGGGGCCGGCCCGGTATGTGGTGTTCCCAGTTCATCTCACTGTTGTCCAAGTAAGCTGAACGACCCTAGGCTCGAAGTACGAAGGTGTGCATTTTCGACGCACTCTTCTGGATACGATCCCTGAGATCGGTGCGGTGTCCTATGTTTACATGCCTGTGCTATCTGACCGTTTCGCTTGCAGATGTTCTCGCACGCTTGGTGATGCCGTCACATCCTACTCTCAAGCCCCACGTCAGAATGCTCCATCACTTTCGGTTCATCCTGCCGCTGTTGAATTCTGACGAGGAAGAGTTCACGCCGTTACATTACTACGACTCGGCTATCCAGCTGGCTCGCTACTCAGCGGAAGAACCCACTGAAGAAGAATTCGTCCTTGGCTTCCAGTCTGCTGCAGAAATTAAACGCAGGTGCGTCGTGGTCATATGTCGAACAGCTTCCCCGCTGATATACGTCCAGCTTGAACGACTGTCGACTCGAGGCCCTTGAGCCCTCCCTGACCGAATTTTCCGAATCCACAGAATCATGACACGTCAACGTAACTGATGATATACAACACTAGTAAAGGCCTGCCCCGTAGATCTTCTTCCAACTTGGCAACTCGACCCAGGAGTTCCAGTAGGACTTGACCTTCACTGGAACAGGCGCCCCGTAGAATGCCTCCAACGCAGGCAAGGCCTCATCAGCTGTCTTTGCCCCACTCGCTGCTGCCAGTCGGGTCAACCAGGCGGCCAGATGGAAGTCATCCTCGCCGGGAATGTCCCCTCCGATGAAGCCACGCTCAGGCAGGACGCTCGGAAGTAGTTCTTGGATCGCATATTGCAGGTTCTTGTAGTGGGCTTTCGACTGAGCAAAGAATGCAGCATTATGCTCCTCAGGTGCATCACCCTTGATGATATTGAGCAAACCTGCAGTGAACTTTGTGAATGAGTATACGCTATGTGTCACCGAACTTGCCTTGATTGTCTTGCATCTTAGCGTCGTAGAATTGCTTGAAGACGGCTCCTTCAGGTGCCTTCGAGTACTTCTCCATCACAGCTTGACCTATAGGTAACGATAAATCAGCTCATCCTCGTCGTCATCACTGTCAAACGCACGATTAGTGAGGAACGGGATCGCAATCGAGCTCTTCTTCGCGGCAAGTTCATCCTCGTCTCGCTGAGCGGGGTGGTCAATGAAGGCCGCGAGGAGGTTTGTGAACAACGCACGGATAGGAAAAGAACGAAGTTGGGATCGTACTTATCCTCGTGGATAGTTTGAATGAAGCTCGAACCCGTTTTGACCTTCGTCGGCGCGTCCTTGACGAGCTTGGCAACCACAGACGAAGTATCCGTGTAGACGTTTCCGTCGCATTCCAACGTGGGGAGCGTTCCTTTCGGATTCTGCGATCCTTAATTGAGACTGTCCCGGAACAATCGGAGCACACAGGGACCAACGAGCTTCAGGAACCACGGTTGCAAGTTCTCTCCTTCGGCGAGATTGACGGTTTGGACGGTGACATCGGCGTCGGTGCAGCCGAGCTGCGCGCTGTTTTTGGGATCAGGGTGGCTGGACGATAAAATGCGCGCGGGACCAACACGGCGAGTTCCGAGGCAGCAGCCCACACAGAGGCTCCAAACGCATATAGTGTTTTAACCATGGAAGAAGAGGAAGAAATCAGGGCGAGGAGACTGCTGTTATTCTGGTGATTTTATGCGCGACCCGGGTACATCGCGTTCCCGATTAGAGTCACGTGAACGTGATGTTACTCAGCTTACATCACGCAATCTCCGCGAGATGAGCGTGCTTGGTTGCCGGCTTGGGCCGTCAACGACCTCAAAATGACACCCAGCAAGTCCGTGAATGACCGGTAAGTGTAACAAAGCTTCCTGATGTCTCCGAACAAGCCGTGATATTCTACTTACTGTAAAGTAACCCTAGAAAAGGAAAACCTGGACCGAGATAAGAATGGGAACAGTTCATGCAACGGCTTAGATTACCTTGTCCTCGAGTTTGCTGATGGTCCGAGGTGCGGGGAAGCTCAATTCATCCAAATGTTTTCTAGAAACGATCAGTTTCAAGTTACCGAAATGAAGGGGTTCACTTACTTCATTGCGGTAAGCATAGGCGGTGGTCCTGCGATATATTTGTCAACTCGAATTCGCACAGAGGGCAAACCACACCGACCACACATAAGGATCTTAGCGTCAGCAGTTGGTGTCGGCAAATACGTTTGAATTTGTTCCTTGGTGACGAAACCAACGCCACCAGCCCAGACAGCTGGCGGGGTGTTGAGCACGTAGTAGACAGTGAACCGGCTGGGGTGAGCTGCTGCCAACTGATCCAGCTCGGCACGCATCAGAATGTCTTCCTCAGAGACATTGGCATAGATCAGAGCAAGCTTGGTAGAGTCGCTGGGATTCTTGAGGACGGCGTTAATGATTTGATACATCGGCGTGATTCCGCTTCCTCCAGCGATCATTCCCAACGCGCCAGTCAAGCCAGACGTGTAATCAAAGTTCCCCCGCGGACCTTTGACACGCAAGTTATCGCCGAGTTTCAGAGTCGTAAAGTGTTTTGAGATGTTGCCCTTCTCGTATGACTGGAAAAAACGTCAGTGACCGGTCCGTGGTCGATACAGCCAGCACACCTTGATGAGCAGGTCAAACGATCCCAACTGGTCGTTACTGCTGACAGGTGTATAGCTGCGCGACAGGTCCTTGCCATTGATGACAGCACCAACTGAGATGTGCTTTCCCGTGGGCAGTCCAAGTGTGTCTGTTGGGCGCGGAAGGGAGAACCGGTAACTATTTATGATTCAGTCTTGTTCAATGAAGCGAGGGACGCTCTCACATCGCAGTGTTCGGAGAAATTTGGATCTTCTTCTCGAGGGGGAACTCTTGCCATTCCTTCGTCAAAACTTTGCGACCACCTGCGAACAGAGTCAGAAGCGACGCGTCAATGAGGAGCCCCTCGTACCCTTTTTGCCCAGTACCAACCAGAGCAGTGTTACGACGGCGACAGCACCGCTCGCAATGACGACCGGGTTGGACATCAGTGTGACTAGATCTTTAGAAAAGTCCATTCCGTAGTACTTTGTTGGGTCGTCTTTTCGCGGCGTTCCGAGGAGAATGAGATGACGGTAGTCGTATCCGGCACGCACGAGGGCTGCTTTGAGGATATTGGAGAGATAGACGAGGGTAAAGAAACCGCCGAATAGCGAAGCCAAGAATGCAAGTTGATCGGGGTTAGGCATAAAATCGTGCCATAGCCTCGGCCGGCCGGCCGGTCCAGCCCCGTGACTATGATGATAATGTCACACACACGGTACCTGAGGCTGGGACGGTCCGGAACAGTCCGGAACAAGCCCCGGATTTCCGTGCGGTGCGTGAGATCAGGTGAATGTTATCTTCCGGCAACCGGGCGGCGGGAGGCTGGAGCACATGGCAACCGATGAGCATAAGCATTGGGGACGAAGTGTAAGATTCACCGAAAGCACGAGAGCTATTTACCGATATATTGTAGAGGCTATGCTAACAACTCGGCGCGGGGAAATGAAAGAGTCTGACCCTGTCTGACCTGACGACGGATCTGGACAAGCCCGTTGACACAGGCTGGTGATGGCATGTTGATATCCAAATAAAGTAGTTGACTTGGCTCTTACCATCGGCACCAAGCTCTTGTTGGTTTTCCGTGCTACCGTCCCCGGTAGCGTAGTGCCTGTGCGTCGGCTCCCCCAATCCCGCAGAGCCGATTTCCTCTGCTCTCTTCCTTTTGCTCTTTTTATTCCCCAGTCTTTCTTCCACGGTCGCGCTGCGCGTGTTGTATTGCTCGCTCCTGCCTCTTTCCACGCCTAAAACACAAGGCTTCTGCTCTGTCCGCAGCCTTCGATGGCCATGATGTCTCCTCGTAAACGGGGCCCTCCTTCCTTCCTCCGCATCGACACTCCGGTAGACTTGCCGCACATCGCCCTTGCCACCGGGGATAGCTCTGCCTCCGCCTTATCCTCCGCAGCATCAGAAGCCGACTATCCCCCATTCAACCGCCCCAACAAGCCGAGGTCGCTTCAGAACATGAAAAAACTTTCTCTGAACTTGGGGTCCGGCCATTCCTCCACCGCATCGCTTCTTTCACTCGGGCCTGCCAGTGCCACCAGCGTAGCGAGTTCTTCCGTGCAGCAGGAGCCCAGTCATTCGGCGAAGTCTCGTCGTCCGTCCATCGTCTCATTACCGGCCAGTGCCAACCCAATGGGGAACAAGGGTTTTCGCAAAGTCGAGGACGGATCGCCCACGCTGCCTTACGCCGATGGACCTATCCAGATATTCCCCGGCGTCTGGTTGGGTTCAGAGGATAATGCCAAGGATTTTGTCGGGTTGCGGAATCGCGGCATCAAGTCAGTGCTAAACGTTGCCAAGGAGGTACTCACGTCCTTCGATTCGCCTCAATCCCAAGCACTGCGTGCATTCGCATCCACTCCAAATCTGTCCAAGGTGCCCAAGGGCTCGGATCCGACTTTCTTCCCGGCACATCTGTCCAGCGGACGGCCGGCGATGCACTATCTGAAGCTGCAGTGGTCCCATGGGCAGCAGGATCTCGTTGAGCACGGGTTCCCCGAAGCGATGTACTTTGTGGATGCGGCTTTGGACCGAGGCGAGGGCGTATTGATCCAGTGCGTGTATCTTGTCACATATCCAGCATATGATCCATTGACATCCTTCACAGTTGTCAATGTGGCATTTCAAGATCTGCCACTATGGTGATCGCTCTGGTCATGCGAGCGGCAGCCGAACGCTCGCCCTCGGTACCCTCCGAGATTTGGGCTTTGAAAGGAATGCAAGGAGCGTATACATTCGTGAAAGAAAAAAGCAAATGGGTGGGGCCGAACATGTCGTACGTGTTTTTACCTCTCCCTTCCACCGGCTTCTCTAACTTGCCGACTCGCTAGCCTGATCTATCAATTGTTGGAGTACGAGAAAGTGCTGAAAGGTGACAACGGAGAGTTGTCGGGATCAGAGTCAACAATGGCTGACGAGGACGAAGAATGGGGACGGCAGCGTCGGCTTCTAGATGAAATCCCGACGGATGACGAGAACGACCAGGAAAGTGCTGCAGTCATGCGTGAGGCTCAGGCTTTGGATAAGGCTATGGAGGATCGGGTGCTGGCTCGCAAAGCATCGGCTTCCTCGGTTGCATCTTCGGGATCCGGTGTTGGGATGGGTGCCGCTTGGCGCAATCGATATGCCCGCAAGCGCGCTGGATCCATTGCCAGCAACATGACGAATGGCAGCAGCGTCTTCAGCGAGGATTTGGTTGAAGAAGACGAAGAACAAGAGTTGCTTGGTATTGGCGGTGGCTTCGACGAAGACAGGGTCTCGAGTGCTGAGCCTGATTCGACGAGCTCACCCGAGGACGATGTTCGATCTCATGAGACACCTCGCCGACCAGTTCGGCCCCCGCCCTCGGCACCGGTCTGGAAAACGACGTTTACGTTGCCCAAGCCGCCGATGACGGTCATGCGGAGCTCGTTCGATCTTCCGCCGGCTAAAACGAAGCGACGCCCAGCTCCTATCGGAATATTACCGGCTGTTCCCTCGTCTCCGATCCGAATTGTGGTTGACGACGAGGACAACAAGGTCAAGCGAACTGCTCGCAGGACGACAGCGCCGACTTTGCTGGTTCTTCCGAGGACGAGGACTGAATCGAAGAAGCCTGTTCCTCCGCCTCTGCATCTGCGAAGCAACCTGCTGAAACCCAAGCACCAGTCCAACACACCGCTTGCGACACCCTCACAGACATTGTTTGTGTTTCCGCCGTCGCCGACGCTGACGACTCGGACGCCGTCTGCAATGACGCTAACGTCCACCATGGGAGACGGTGTGCCGTTCCCCAGTCAGTTGACGCCTCGGGTGTCAACGTTCCGGTCCGATGGCCGAACGCGTTCCTTCATCGGATTGGCGCCCACACCAACCACGACGGCGTTCTCGAAGGTGGATGTTCGTGGTTTTATTGGTGTGCAATGAGTGATATGGTTTGTGACCTGATCATGCATAATGAAATGTGTTTTTATGTTCACGGCTGTGTCACGAACTCGCACGTTAGCATTTTTAACCAGGCACGGACCTGCCCCCGTTTCTTTTCGCACTTCCCGCTGGTGTACAACAGTTCCTTCCATCCATTCTCCTTGCATTTCCGCGCATTGACGCAGTCACTTTCTTTGTTTATTTCTTTCTCACAATTTGCTGTACCGTGTTGCATTTTTTACCAAGCTGCGTCGTGCTATCAATACACACTCCGTGGTCCGTGTCTAAATTCGCGCTGCATGCCCAGCATCACAGTCACAGAGGGTTGGTCACATGTTCTGTGACCCCACGCGCGGCCGGCCATTAATCATTCCCCTCCGCCCCCATCACAATGAACCGCCCAGTGACTCCTCCGAGAACTACTGCATCCCCTAGCCTACCGCTGACGCCGGAGCAAGTCAAGCTGGTAGAAATCAATCGCTTGAGAGGTAAACCATACGCTGAAGATCGTATGGTTTTTGACTGTTGCAGCCAAGGCACGTCAGAAGGATCGAGAATGGGAAACCCAGGGAAGCAGTCTTCCCAACGCCAACAACAAGAGACCGCTCTCTGTCACACCTGCGACCTCGAACTCCCCGACTGCTGCAGGGCCGTCCAAGCCAAAGCCCCTCGCTCCCAACGTCCGCTTTGGAAAGTACTTTGAATATGATCTTTCGAAGATGGTCAACTCCAAAGGCGGTTTCCTGGTGGAGGATGGTCAGGAGGTGGACGAAGAATTGATCAGGAAAGAGAAGGAACGAGAGCGACAGAGAATACAGAAAAACATGGAACCCCGTACGTGCCCATATATGATCTCCGTCGGCCTCTAATCAAGGTTGCCGCACACCAGCTGTTTTCTTGGACCCTGATCTGAATCCCAAGTGCCGAGAATGTGGGACCATTTCTATCGACCATGCTTACCGCAAGACGTTCGGGTGTCTGGTGTGCAAGAACTGTCAGAACGACAATCCGGAAAAATACAGTCTATTGACAAAGACTGAGTGCAAGCAGGTAAATTCTCTTTCTTTCATCATTTCAGAACGTTCTCTGAACTTTGGGCAAGGATTATCTGCTTACCGATCGTATGCGGCTCCACCTCTGTTGACGTGTGAATACTGACGCGTGGCTCCAGCTGAACTCCGCGACGAGGAAGTTCTACCACATATGCTGAAAGCCAATCCGCACAAGTCCACTTTTGCAAACATGATGCTCTACGTGCGATACCAAGTCGAAGAATTCGCCTGGAAGAAATGGGGATCACCTGAAGCTCTGGACGCTGAATATGAGAAGCGGGTCGCTGAGAAGAGCAAGAAGAAGAATCGCAAGTTCGAGGACAGCCTTCGGGACCTGCGAAGGCGGACGAAGGAATCGTCGTGGCAGCGCAGGAAAGATTCTGAGCACAAGCATGTCTTTGGGCCATCCAGGACAGATAGAGGAGAGTCCGGTCAGCAAGTATGCCACGAGTGTGGATTTACTGTAGATTTTGAAGAACTCTAATCTTACGACGTATCGTCTTTTACATCTGCGTGCTTGATCGCAAATCCGTCTCTTCACATATGTTTGTGTCAGCGTCCATTCGAAGACCGCATGCACCCCTGGACACCGGCTCTGGTAGTTCTATTTGCGAGAGAATCGCACGGCAAGCGGGGGAGGTCGCTCACGGAATTTAATGGACTGCTGGCGGCTTACCTACCGGCTAGCCGGATATCACAAGCCGGGCTTCTCGTTTCCGCTTCCGTGCGCGTATAAATTGTACTTGTCTATTTCGTCCTTCCAGCCATTCTACTCTCGAAGATGACCACTCCGGAAACAACGCCGTCCGCCTGGCACGAAGAAATCTCAACCGCGCTTGAAGTAGAGCGGCTTGAGGTAGACTTGTTTCGGTCCAAAACACTGTGGCTGCCCATGAGAGCTCGAGGAGTCTTCGGAGGGTATGTTACAGTCGTGCCACGTCCTGTTACGATATAAGGGCTAAACATGTATGAAAAAAGTCAGGTTATCAGTCAAGCTTTGGTATCTGCGACGAACACAGTCGATCCAAAGTATGGGTTACATGTAGGCTAGTCGCTACACCATCCGATTCACCCTTACTCAAGTGACCACAGTCGCTCCATGTCAGCAACTCCCGGATTCTTTCTTGCTCTGCCTGACATCCCATCTCCCTCCAGTGCTACTTTCTTCTCAGTGCCTCTGTGTCGACACCTATCGTCTACCTTGTCGAGCGCATCCGGGACGGACGTTCCTACGTGACGCGCAACGTCAAGGCCCTGCAGAATGGCCGCGTCGTCTTCATGATGATTTGCTCATTCCACAAACCGGAGCCCTGGCAGCCGAACGTCGAATGGAGTATGCCGATCGTACCCAAGCCGGACGCATGTGAACTCGAGGAGCACCGGTTCTCGGCCTTGCTCAACCAGGAGAATCTCCATCCCAGAGTGGCCCAAATATATAGAGAAGTGATCAGCGTTAGTGCTTTGTCCTTGACCCTTGTGGCGACACCCAACGTTAGAGCAGGAACGTACCAGAAGTCCGATCGCGATCAAGAGTGCAGTCGAGGCCGATGCAAGCATCAAAGGAATGGTACGATATATGTATTGGATGAAGGCGCGAGACGCGCTACCCTGGGATGCACCATTCCAGAAGGTTTGGCTTGAACTTTACAACTCTGTCTAGTGTAATTGACCCTCATTCAGTGCATTCTCAGCTACCTCTCCGACCTCTATCTGTAAGTTGTGATGGTCCATGTCGTTGTCAGTCCGCATTCTGAAAACAACAGGCTCCTCGTTGTTTCTCGGACATCCGGACTGAAACGATTTGGCACTGGTCCAGACTCGACCAGCATGACAGTAAGTGGGATTAGTCTTTTCGCTGTGTTCGCTACTGACATTTCGTCAGTCAACCATCTCTCATTCAATTTCCTTCTTCGAGTGGGTGCTCCTGGGTTCTTGTTCTTTTCCTTCGTTAACAACCGCAGCGATTCATTCCACTGCGGAGACTGGTTACTTTATGTCGTCAGTTCATCTCATCTAACATGGACACACTGTCCTCAATCACTCTTAGATGACCTGTCCTCGAGCTGCGTCAGGGCGAGGAGCTGTGTACGGCCAGGTATGTAACGGCTTTATCATCCGCCATCCAGTACTCTCAGATAGCATGTATCAGGTTTACACCGAATCTGGGACTCTTGTTGCGGTGACGACACAGGAAGGCGTCATTCGTGCCGACAGACAAGGACCACAAGAAGCCAAGTTATAGACATACATAGACCTTACTTACAAATTGTATTCTGCATTACAGCCCTTTCGGAAAAGGTTGACCGGAACAGTTTTTCGCCAACGACTTGTAAAATTTGATGAAATGATATGATGGACCATATATAGACTTAGCTCCGGAACCAGAATCCTCGCATACCCATTTTTCAGCTGTTCATGTCGGAAAACACTAGTTAATTCAACAGATCTCCTCTTTCAGCATATGAGATACCATACACCTACCTTCAAGAGCCACCACATCCGGCTTTTCCGATGACAATACCCTCACAACACATTTGCCTCTAAATTTGCCCGCATCGACACAAACTCCGCTCTGATTTCCGCACGCTTCCTCCAAAGGTAGCGCAGTTCCAGCAGTCAGATCTCTCTTGATTCTAGGTCCTCACTGATACACCAACATGCAATAGAATGTTGTTACCAGTGCAAAAACTGGAAGGTGCAGAATTCCCCCTAAGCTTAAGCGGATCGATATCCGGAGCTAAGTCTATATATGGTCCATCATATCATTTCATCAAATTTTACAAGTCGTTAGCGAAAAACTGTTCCGGCCAACCTTTTCCGAAAGGGCTGTAATGGACGGAGCGTTGTATCAGACAGCACGCGACCAGTTTTCCATAGCAAGGCATACTTTTGAGTGGGTCTTACATAGACTGTACATGGGGCATGACATGTGAGAGCAGCATTCGGGCGAGGGACGATGATCGGAATAGTCGAGGAAGATGCGATGAAAATGCTAAGCCAAATGTAAATATGCGAGGACAATCGATGATTGCAAGTGCGCTATCGCTTAGTTTTTCCTACGGAACGAGCATCCTGAAGATCGAGCAGTCAGTGTCTGATACACCCAGGGGCTGTTTTGTGTTATACACACCTTCCGTCAAACGGGCCTTACCACCAGTGGGCTGGCACAGAACGCTTGCGCAAGAGCCACAGAGAACGACAGTGTGGGCGTGCGAGAAGACAGTGGTGATGGTGAAGCAGCCTAAAGATCATGAGACCACTGAGGTCCCCCGAAAACCAAAGCAGACGCACCGGGGCACTTGACGTCCATGAAGTACGAGTTGGGCGATTGTACAAGACGCTTGAGCTTGTGCTGGCGCTTGTCGAGTTCGGCGGACGGGTTAAGGAGGTCGACGGCGAGAGTCTACCCAGAGGCAATTAGTCACAGGGCGGATAGGTGGCAGCACGACGAGCGTACCATGTTGGTCGCTGTTTTTGGGAGGGCGAGGAGCGGTCAAGCGTTGGGGGCAAACTGTATAGTCAGGTGTCGGAGCAGATTATAAATCAGGCATAGCCACGAGCGAAACCGCCGAGATGATTCGCCAATCGATTGGTGATCGAATCTTATCGGTGACGGTCACACGCCTCACCCCGCCTTGTTCTTGATCGAGCACAAAGTACAAGACCATATAATGTACATGGCCGCCATGCTTTGTCCATTCGCGCTCGATGTCTCCCCAAATCCTCCCTGTAGTGGCTCATAACCTTCGAAATCTTCCGCACTACGCCGTACCACCCACATCGAACCCCGAGCCCCCAACTGAGCGAACTTTTGCTATTGACCGGCTCTCGCGCAGGGATGACTACAGTTCCTCATTTTTCGAATCGTTATGCGAACGCCTCTACATCTCGGAGCTGGAGTGTCTCTTGGATGAGTCTGACGCGACGGAGCTTCCTGTTGAGTGGGGAAGGCCCCCCGCGACGATACCGCCATGGGATGCCCAAACTATTCCCACATGCTACCAGCGCACGCTGAACAACACCATATATCGGCCGCATGGGAAGTGGGGGTGGGCCTCAGACTTGGCTTTCGTGGAATCTGAGCCCGCTATTCCCTTGTCCTGTGAGAAAATGACCCAGTGTCAACTTCAAATAGTCGCTGACGTGTCTCTTAGCGGGTGCCATGTGTGAAGCACTTTTTAAAACGGGTCATATCGGTGGACGGCCTGTGAAATCCATATCCAAGTTGTATGTTACTGTCTAGCCTGATTGTTGGATATACCACTTACTTAGCCTCAGGTGGCTGACGAAGTACCCTTGGCGAGGGTTCTTTTCCGAGGTACGCTCTATGATTTGTCTAGTGCCTTTGAGACTGAACCCGTTGCCCAGCTTGGACTATATAAACGTCAGCTCAAACCGCTCCAAGGCATTATCGTGCCGTTTATCATCAACGTATATACTTGCGTTGGGGCCATCGACGTCGCAATGGAACCGCCACACCATTCATTCTGGATTGAAGCCTCTCCAGATATGCCTGATGTTCTCAAGAGGCGTTGTATCGCGGCATACGAGAGACTGCACGCGGCAGGCGTGTGGCACGGAGATGTGGAGCTGCGACATATGCTCATTGGCGGCGATGCGCGTGTTACGCTGATTGACTTCCAAGAAAGCCGAGCCTTGAAACCCAACCCAGCCCTCCAACTCAAAGCTGCGTCAGCAGACGACTTGCGGCTTGAAATGCGGAAAGTCAAGTTCAAGTTGGATTACAAAGGCGCGCGGCGTCTGGAAGAGCAGAAGATGCAGCGCGCGATTCGCCTGGCGCGAAGGAACCAGTTCAGAGATGGGGGTCTGCCCGAGCTTCCATCGCAGGAGGACATCGATGTCCCGCCTCTGAGTGCCAGGGAATGGAATAAATGGGTCGGCGCGGCACCTTTGCGGCCGCAGCGTTTTGTGGTACCTGGCCAGACTCCCGAAGGCTTGCGATCCGCGATAGACAACTTTTGTGACGCCCTGGAAAAGCTGGAAAAGCACGGACTTTCCAATCGAAGAACATCTAGGCGCTTGACTTCACCGGAATTCAAAGTGCCTGCGATTCCAGCGAGGCCATTGGAACTGGTCTCCATCGATGTCTCCGGGCCAACTTTCGTGACGAAGATACCCACTTTAACTTGCGTTCCGTCGTCCGAGACGATATGTCCTCCTGCGTCTCTGCCAAGGAAGCGAAAAAGAAACGATCTCGAGGACTGCGCGGTCACTTCGCCCCCGAATAAAGTGCCGCGCGTGGCTTCCTCTTCGGGTGTCTCTAGGTCGGCAATAGATCTTCACTTTCCATCTCGAGTCATCTCACGCTGGGCTGAGAACTTGTGGTGTTTATTCTCATAATTTCGATTTGTGCATGTACTACATAGTTTATTTCGATACCCCATCACTCAATTGAGATGTTCCTCCTCCCATACCTCGAAAAAGCGCCGTCGATCAGCCACATTCACTCCGCGACAACTCTTCAGTCCCAAAGTGTTCAGGTCTGGGCACGAATCAAGCACTGTAAACAGACCCTCCTTCGTGATCTTTGTCTCGGCCACCTCCAGCCAGCGCAAGGACACACAGGCTGCCAAGAAGGGTGCAGCTTCGTCATCGATCGCGGTGTTATTGAGGAGGAGAGTTTGGATTGTTGGAGGGGGCTCGTCGTCGTCAGGAACCAACATGGCGAGATGATATGAGCGTAAGGAAGAGAGGGCCGAGAGATTCAGCCACTGTATCATAGCAAATCAATTATGAAGTCAATATACTAGAAGCCTCTCACCTTGCAGCGCCTGCCCACCTGTCCTACGAAATCGACCAGCGGCTGCGCTGAGGTAGCACCCAGTTTCACATTGCCGACTAAGCTGACATTCTCCAGGTTCCTTAATTCTCGTAGTACAGGAATCAAACTTCGCAGCACAGAATCCGTCAACGAAAGCCCAGAATCAATGGCAACCGAGCCCGGTCCGGAGGATCCAAGGGCCCCGAGTGACAGCGTAGTCAGGCTGGAGTGATGAGGAAGGAAGCTGAGGAGAGATGCCGGCGGTATCTTCGTGGCTGTGAGCATGAGTTTCTGCAGGGGCGGCAGTTGAATATGACCGAGCGATTGGCGAGATGAAGTGAAAGAGACGTCGAGTCGAGAAATGCGAGGGCACCGTTTCAGGAGTCCGTGTATGGAACTGTCGGATATATGCAGGTGCGCCAGTTTGAGTGTTCGAAGCGTGGGCAATGAGAGCTCTTCAACCATTAATTTCGCGAAAGTACCGTCCGTCTGTATGGTTGATTAGCATTCGAGTCATGGACGGAATGGATGGATAACGACCCAACTTGAGATCCCGGCAACCTTCAGAACTTCCAATTTGGCGCCTGCAACAAGCAGCACCGAAAGAAGGGCAGCTGGAGTTACCGATGTGTAGTTCAGATTCAGTTCCTGAAGGTCTGTGCAATGTTTTGATAAGGCCGCCAGGCTCTTCTGCCCCACAAGTGAACATCCCCTGCGTCGACTGGATTGGAGTGTAGAAGATACCAGACAGGACTACCGACCTTAAAACTAGTCTCCGCAGATGAGGAAGCTTTCCCAGAGGGCCAGCGAATGCACTGTCAGGAATTTTGGCAAATCCGGATAGCTCGAGGTCGGATAAATCCGGAAACCGCTCAATCGCTCGGATAGTCTGGGTTTGCACACCAGGCAACGCTTCAGATAAGGTCAAACGTGCACCTTTGAAGAAGTACGAGACAAGAAATTCATGTTTCAGGTAAGTAGGACACTCCTTTGTGAGGTTTTCGAGTAGAGGGTGCAGCAATGGGTCCGGTAGCACGGCTAGCAGAGGCGAAAGCTTCTGCCACAACGCATCATTCGATCGTAAACGAATAAAATGGCGAGCAAAAATATGCGAGCATAAAGCACTGAGCGGTGGGAGGTGTGTGGAGCGTGAGGATCGAGTGCCAGTGGTCAATGCAGCCGGATTAGGCTGATTATTGGCAGGTGAGGGTGCATCATCCTCGTTGGGTGCACCAAAATCGGCCATCCGTCTCCGTTTCGCAGGAGGAGGGACCATAAGGATGGATATTTGTGGAAGGCTTGCAAATTTTTGTTCTCGGCCGTGCGACTGGAACACGTTTGATGAGGATGTTGTCAAGCACAAGCGGGAGATGCTGACGTCACTCGAAATTCGTCCTCTAATCTAATCTGATCCTTTGTGCCTTTCCTTGTCATGTCCTTCAAACGCGCACAAAAGCAGGTCAGCGCGACATCCCAGCCTTCCCCGTCAACACGATCTATCTCGACTGGAATCTCGTCTCTAGATGACATATTAGGTGGCGGACTCCCACCGTCTACTTCACTCGTTATCTCAGCGCCAAACGTCCACACGGAGTACAGCGATCTAGTCGCGAAATATTTTGTAGCTCAGGGTCTCTTTTCGCGATCACAGAGACTCTGTGTTGTCGGTGATGAAGAATGGGTCCGGAGCTGTATGTGGTCATTGCCCGGGACAGTTGCCGACGAGACAGACAAGGAGGAAAGCGAAAGTCACGAGAAGATCAAGATCGCCTGGAGATATGAAGGGATGAAGCGATTCCAGACAACGACATCGACAACAGCCGCTTCTACCGTCGATGCTCCTGCGCCTTTTGACTTGACAGCGCGAATACCTGCCGAAGTGGTCTCCGAGTCTCTGCGTGAAGGCCGTCTGTGTCTCATTCCCATTGACAACCCGCACAATGTTCTCCAGCACATCAGTGCCTTCCTGAGCCAAGAGTCTCGAAGATCTGGTCAAACGCGTCTGTGTGTTCCCGGGTTTGCGTCGCCATGGTGGGGAGATGTCGGACCACGGGTGGGTGACATACATTCTCATCTATGAACTAAGATGTTTATCTATGCGCGAACAGGTGGTGCTGCGATTTCTGTTCGATCTCCGTGCACTGGTGCGCAGGCACGATTCCGCGTTCTCTTGTTGCACTCTTGGAGCAGAGTACAGTCGGGACGACTCTGGGTGGCAGCAAAAGATTGGCTGGTTTGCGGATGCTGCGATATCCATGGATGCTTTTGCGGGTGAGTATCTGGACATGACTACAAGCAGCCATCAGGTAACGGCATTCCTCAGGAAATTCCACGTTGACCGCCGCTTTCCCGACGCATCACGGCTTGCTGCGGGTTCACAATCTGCCAGCGCCGACCGGTCTGGTGCCCGCAAGTGACAGATTGTCAGTGCTGAGAGGAGCAATGAACGGGACAGGCGAGAACAATCTGGGTTTCAAGTGCACTCGAAGAAAGCTGGTGTTCGAAACAGTCCATCTGGACGTTGAAGGCGGCGTCGGCGAGCGGAGAACAGCTGAGAAACCGGTGACAGCTATCAGGCCAGATGTTCAGAACACTGGCGCGGCGAGTCCTCGGGTTGCAGTCGAGCTTCAGGTGGAATCGGCAGTCGAAATCCAGCTGCTTGAAGAGAGAAAACCACCGAAAAAGAAAACCATCAAACGGGTCGGATTCCAGAGCGACCGCCCGGATGTGTATGATTTCTAAAAGTCCGGTATCACAGAATACAGTGCTTGTAAAGTTTCGGGTGCGGTTATCTTGTGACCCAGACCTCAGGAGACCGAGGATCGCAATTTCACTTTACAGTCACGTCAGACAGCCTGTATGTTGACAGTACTAAAATTGGATTTGACGTCGAAAGTTCGCAAGCAGTGGCGCGCACGGCGGGATTCCGTGCGAGACAAGAAATACATGTCCTTGCAAACGCTCGTTGGGGTCGAGAGACAAAAGAGTCGGGCTCGGAAACTACAATTGGGGAATCTGATGGCCCTGGTCCGCACGTGGAGCACAAGCGGTGAATTCTGATGGCGATTTGAAGAGACTGGTTCAGACTTCAGACGACGACGATGGCGACTCACAATCGCGGATCGTGGATCTCACTGTCGGATGAATCGAATTTCGAGGACCTGGACGACGACAATTCCAGCGAAGAATATTATCTTGGAGAATATCTCCGACGAATTCCTCAGTCCGACCGTACGTGCCGGTGTTTGCCATTATGTTTGTCCCTTAATCCCGTTCCCTGCTCCTGACGCTTCTCTTGTTCAGATACCAGCGACTCTGTCGGCACCGCCGGCTCCACTGATTCAGTCCCATTTCGACCAGAGATGAGCTCGAATGCGGCAGTATCTGGAGCCCAAATACTTCTCAATTCACCCATGAACCCGGAATCGAACAAAAATATCGCACTCTACGGTTACCAACCGCGAGACCCATCGGCTTTCGACTATCATCTACCATACCGTCCGCAACAGCAATCCCTCACTTCCTCGACCCCAGCGCTCTCTTCCTCGTCGTCGGCATCTACGAGGTCGTCCGCCTACACGACCCAGAGCAATGGCAGCGTCGCCTCCCCCACCTCCCCCAACAGCAACGTCCGTATCGCCTCAAATGAAGATTTGAGCCCTGGAGTTGGTCAATTCGCTGTTGGGATCACATCCGACTCTGTGGTACAGCTTATGTCAAACGATGCAGTCCGCGCTCCAGGTGACCAGTCTCGCTGGTCTGCTTCCTATTCGACCACCTCCAGATCTCGATCCTCGTCCGTCGGTGCTGGAAGCGTCAGCAACGACCAACCTCATCCACGCCTGACATCGAAAAAGAGTTACGACATGTCATGGCAGCAGGCGTTGGATGAGCGGGATGAATTTGGCGCGAGTGAAGAAGATACGGATGCGGACGATCTGTTACTTGACGATGATGACCGAGATGACGAGGAAAGCGAGGAACGCACTGCGGCGGCCTTAGTGGCCGATGAAGGGCGGGGTCTTATCGTCAAGGGCGAGGGCGTTGTGTTATCAGAGTTGCCTGTGCAACCAGGTGCGTCCGCCCTACAGCTCATGTTGATTACGCTATAACGTTAACAGGCACGACCCACCTTTTGCTCAACTCTTGCGGCTCCCCCAACAGTTTGCCGGCCTTCCTTACCGCGGTCGTCCCGCAGATCTGCACCTCACTTCTTGCATTAGACATCTCAGCCAACTTCCTCAGCGCTCTACCCCCGACCCTTGCACTGTGTATCTGCCTTGAAGAGCTTAACATTGCTTCAAATCCACTTCGGGTTCTACCGGTTTTCCTCGCTGACCTCGTGCATCTGCGCGTACTCATCGCGGACTCCACGGGTCTGTCTACCCTGCCAGACGCATTGGCGGACTGCGACAAGTTGCACACAATCAGCGTGCGGCGGAACAAGATGCATGCATTGCCCAGTTGGTTGGCGGTGCTGCCAGATCTGCAGACGCTCTACGTAGATGGCAATCCATTCCAGGGCCCTTGGAAAGCTCTGGTCGAGCCTTTACTCGCCAAAGTTCCTTCTACTCCGATTTATCCGCTCTCGACGCCGACTTTCCCGACATCGATGCACTCTCCTTCGTCCGCTGAAACGTCGACTGACGACGAACAATCTGAGCCTCCCAGCTCAGGTCCCAGCTCGAGCAGATTTCAGAACACCATAGATGAAGATCACACAATCACCCCGGATATGGCACGATCACGCTCGCCTGGTGATGGGACAAGAGGCGGGTTGACCCGGACGAGAACGACACCCAATCGTGCTAACCCAGTGGTCTCGCGACATGGAACACCTCAGCCAGAAAACGAGGATGCGGGCTACTTCGTCGATCGCCCTGCTGAAGTTCGTAGGATGAAGAGTGCTGGCGAACTGAGGCAGGGCCTGGGATTGAGTCATCTCGAAGCGCCTACGGCCAGCACGTCTCGCTCCAGCACCAATCTTCTGCAAGACATACACCCGACGCAGAAGCGATTTGGTAGTGTCGGGCCTTCCACCACACTGGGCGTGAGTCCGGTGACCTACTCTCCAGCGAATGGACGACCTCCTTTGACCAACTCGATGTGGAATGCTCCCAATCGTGTTTCCCAGACCGAACATCCGTCTCCCAGCCGCAACGAATCTTCCACGACGATCCGAGTTGGCAAAGACGGCAAGGAAAAAAGTCGCTGGGGCTTCCTGAAGAAGATGTCAATGGGGAAGATGAAGCCAGATCCAGCGTCGCCGCGGCCTTCTCCGCCTCGCCCTGGGATGATTAGGGCGCCAGGCACTGCGCCCCTACTTTCGGGGCCGTCGAATGGCATACCGCAAATCAACATGAGGATATCCACGACCGGAGCGCTGGATTCTTTCCACAGCAGCGCACCGCCCACAGTCTCTGTCGAGTCGGAATCGAGGTTGGATAGCATGTTCACGGCACCGGGTTCTGGTGCATCCGGACTACTCGCCCCGGGGCCCACACCACGGACCACCAAACGACGCAGTTTCCTGCCGCTGGACGCAGTGCCTCATGGGGGCCTCAACATTCCCATCCCCGATGCCTCGGCATTCATGCCCAACGTCACTGTGACCGGTGACATCGAAGCTGATGGGACCCCGCTGCCCAGTCCGGTCGGGGTCGCTGGCGAGAACTGGATGCGCCGGGAGGAGGACCGGGCAAGAGATGCATACCAGCGGGCTTTGCGAAGTGTGATGGCCTACCTCAAGGACATGAACGACTTGGGGGTCTCGCAGCAGGCTGCCGCATTGGGAACGTACGGCCAGGGCGGAGAGGAGCTTGTCGTGGGAATGCGCCAGAGAAGACCAACAGGACTCGAGCGAGAGGCTTCCATGGCTTCTACGGGCAGCTCTACCGAATCCGGGCAGTTGCGGTCGCTCGATTCTATGACTAGCATGCGAGGATCGACGCAAACGAATAGCGTAGCCACCACGGACAGCAGTGGATCGGGTAGCGACGAGCGCAAGTACAAGGATGACAAGGGCAAACGCGCTATGGTGGTTCGGGAAATCGTCGTGTGCGTCGTCATCACACAGTCCTTCGAACAGACACTGACCGGGCAGCAGAACGGAGCGGACCTATGTCAAGGGACTGCATGAGCTGGTGGATATCTACATCAAACCAGGCTCTGCCCCCGTCAACGTGCTCGGCAGCTCAAGCAAAGAAACGGTTGTCCCTGCCTCCGAGCGGAAAGTCGCGTTTGCGGGCATCGAGGCACTCTTTTCTTTCCACAAAGACAGCTTCCTGCCCGCACTGGAGATCGCCGCTGCACCCATCATGAAATCGAGTGCGGATCTTGCCGAAGCCGATGCAGACGGTCAGTTGTCGCTGACCGTTGCCAAAGCTATCGGCAGCATGTTCCTCAAACACGCTGCGTTCATGCGCATGTATTCTACTTACATCAAGTGAGCCGCGAGTCACCTGTCGCGTATTTCGTACTGACTGATGATGCCGTGCAGCAACTTTGACAGTGCTGTCCAGCGAGTCCAGAGTTGGACGAGAGCAGCGGCACCTGTCAGTTCGACCCCTGCAATAACCCCCTCTACTTCTCAATTGGCCGGTCTCGGTCTTGCTCTGTCTGCCGTCTCGAATCCCGTTTCCCCAGAAAGCAGTGTCGCACCTGGGCTGCCTGCTCTGTCCACAAGCCAACGCAAACGGCTGCGAACTTTCATGAAACGGTGTCAGATCAACCCTCGACATTCTCAGCTGAATCTGGAGGGTTATCTACTGCTTCCTGTACAGCGCATTCCGCGGTATCGATTGCTGGTGGGCGGACTGTTCTTTTTCTCCAACTGACTGTACTGAATGACATGCAGCTTGAGGAACTGCTGCGAGCGACACCGCCCACTTTCGAGTACATGGACGATCCGTTAGACCGCTCGTTGGCTGAGATCTCTCTTTTGGCCAACAACATGAACGAAGGCAAACGTGAATCTGAATCGCGTCAGAAACTGGTGCAGTGGCAGGCACGAATCCGAGGACGATTCCCGAGTCCCTTGGTGCAGCCCCACCGGCGGCTCATCATGGATGGGCATCTGCTGTTGACACGTGTTGTGCGCAAGGCGATGGTCTCCTTCGAGGCTCTCAACGCGCAAGGAGATCCGTGCACGGTCCAAGTTGACTGTCTAGCACCAGAACTGACGCCGCGGCCCCTGGTCGGCATTTTGTGTAACGATCTGCTTGTTCTCTGTCGGGATCCGTCGGAAGGACAGGATCCCCAGTGCGCCGTAGATCTGTGGGCTGTGTTGCGCATGCAGACGCTGCCGCAGCCTGCGAGCATTGTGCATGGCAATGGTGGGCTCCTGCGCTCTCCCGTGCGCTTGCGGCGGTCTGACCTTTTTCCAGCCCTGCGGTTGGTAGATAACAAGGCGATTCTGTACTTTGATGCGCCGACACCTTCTGATGCATTAAATTGGTTCAGAGGTGAGCCTGCTGTGCTGCCTGTGTCGGGTGCAGTTCTGATGCGGCTGGTAAAGCCATCAATCTGCACATCCCCAAGACCTAGTGGCCAACCGACGCTCGCTGCATTTGTCTGCTTTCGCATTACTGGAGAATCTAGTCTGACCACGCTCTTTCTATCCACTTTGTCCATTGTATCAACTCAAGTCGTATATATTCGAAGCCTTTCGTCGAGATGCTTGCCTCTCTTGTAAATGCTTTGCCTGATGGAATACATCAGCCTGGCTCCGGTAGAGGAGCTGGTGAATATATGATACTGCTCTCTAATTTCATCATCACGCCTGACAGGGATGTCGTGTGCACTTCGATGGCCAAGATTCATTGTGTAACAAATGGAGTTCGAAAACCTGATATCGACTCGGTCACAACCTTGCTGATACGTTCTATATCACTCTCCAAGTACGGCGGAGCGATCCCCATGTCATGTCATGTTTACATTGGTACACTTGTACTGATCAATCAGTCGAACTTGCGAACTGGCACCGGCGCATTGAGACCAGCAGCAATGAACCGCTCGACATCCTTCTCGGACGTGCCCGCTCCGATGTCCGTCTTTCCTTCGCGCAGACCCTTGAGCGTGTGCGCCGTGTAGTCCGCCAGCGGCATCCAGATCTTCGACAGGAACGCGGTCGTGCCTTGGTCTGTCAGGTCACGTCAGCTCGGCATACCCGCCACCATGGAGAGACGAACCATCGTGCAGCTCGGACTCGACAAGGCTGCAGGCGGGCTCGGATCAGTCCCGAAAACGCGCATATAGCCGGACGAGCGACTTACGGTGGGATGATTTCGATGACGCTGACCTTGGTCTCGAGCAGCTGTCGGCGCAGAGAGATTGTGAAGCTGCGCAGTGCAGCCTTGGTCGCGCAGTAGTTGGGCATCTGGCTAGAAGGAAGCAAGCCCAAGCCTGAAGAGACGGGGATGATCCAGGAAGGCAGACCAGCGCCCTAGCATTGCGATTGAGCATGCCGCGGCTCCGATGGGATAGGACAGTGCTCACCGAGAGCTTGAGGAAGTGTGGCAGGAACATCGTGATGAGCGTGATCACCGCCATGTAGTTGACCTGTACTTCCTTCTTCACATCTGCAGTTCATGTTTTGGATCGGTGGCAGCTAAAATATGGGAAACAGGCGCATACCTGAAAGCGCGATCTCGCGCAGGAAGTTCTGCTGGTATTGGATGCCCGAGCACAGCAAGACCCCGTCAAGCTGGATGAGGTTCAGATTCAGGATGACGCAGATATCGCGGGTGTCACACATACAGTGGGGTACTGCGCGATCAGGGCATCGACCTTGGTCTTCAACGCCGCATCATCCTCAGTGACGTCGAGCTGGACAGTCTTCAGGCCCTTGACGGTAAGTTCAGCCAGGCGATCTGCTCTTCTTCCAGCAGCGATCACGGTGGGCTTGCTCGGCAGCTCAGAGATAGCGAGCGCAAGCGCGCGTCCGATCCCGGAGGTAGCGCCGACAACGAGGATGCAGCGAGCTTGATCGATGGAAGTCGCCATGGTAAGAACAGCTTGGATGTAGCGATGGCACCGAGGTTTCGAAGAGCGTCTTTATAGGGCAGCAGCAGATTAATCCGTCGACGTAAGGCTGGTATGTCATTATATTGCAGTTGGCAAGCGATGCAGTTGCATGCAACTCTCACGGTGATTGGTGGGGAAGCAGGATAAGAAGCAGGATGAAGTATGCTGGGATTTACACCATGTTCGACATTGCGGGCGTAAGAAACGATGCGATCACTGGCTGTGTGCCGCACATTGTCAGCGCAGTTTGTATGCGATGGCACAGAGAGATAAATCTAGGAAATCTCGCGTTTGAATTGTCTTGTTCTTCGCCTTCCATTGAATAGGCCTTATTTTGTTGAAACATCGAAAGATTACACAGTAAGCTCTTGACCCGAGAGGGTTGAACATGCCTGCGATGATCGCGAAAGGTCAAAGTGCAGGAAACCTCGGCAGAGTGATTGGATGACAGTAATATTTTACAGAGGGCAGGAGAGAACACGGAAGACACCCGAGTGCGGAGACTGGGGCGATGTCCATGCAGCTGTAGTACGTAAACCGGCGACCCCATCCGAGACCGTGGAAATGCATCGTGTTTCGCTGGCGTGGTTTCGGTAAGTGCCGCCGTGCGAGACGAGGCGAGCCAGCGCTCCGCAAATACTATACATCCTGGAATAGCCGCCTTCGGACAGTTAATCTCCAAAAGACTTCAAGATGTTCGGTGAGCTGAATTCAAGCCTGGAGATGACCTCGAAGCGATTGCCGAGGTAAAAACATCTGGAGCCATTACCTGCATGATACAATGGAAGTTGAAACTGCGGCACAGACCGTGACAGCCCGTACTTCTACAATCTTGAATCTCCTGCTCTGATTTAATCTGTATTACAGCCAGACATGTAAGAAGTGTGTGCCTACGAAACTTTGTTTATTCCGGTGGTACCTGATCAGTTGTATGTCTACATATCCAGGTGCTGATATTATCCTCCTCACTGTGACAATTGTCTGTTGTGCGCTTTGTATCCAAAAGTATTGCCTTTTACCGGCGAATTCAACTGCTACCTGTACGTGCACTGGGCCATAGGACAGGAAGAATTCTTGTCGGCGACATCGCAAGCAGCAGAGACCTTGGCGGAGTGACACTACTGACGCGTTGTGTCACATATCACGCGTTGTGACATCGTCTCGCTCGCCCTGCTCAGCTCACCATGATCAATCCCTCTCCAATACATGCACGGAGAGAACTCTATGCAATTGTTCGGATCCTGGACAATTTCCGAAAGAGCTGTGTCGCTTGCTTGTCCCACTGGCAACTCTTCAAGATTCAGCTTCGTCTCAGAAGACCGCCTGGTCTCTCGGCAAATCAAAGTGTCCGCCCATCTGAATCCCTACTCGCGACGCGGCCACGAGGACAACTCTTGGCCCTCGCTGCATTTTCTGCGCCACAAACTCTACCCTTTGTCGACGAAGCACGAGGTTACTGACATATGTGGACGGGGATCTCATGGATGGTCTGGAGCTTCGGAAGGCTGGCAGCCAGTGCATCTTCTCGAGCTGGAGTCACCCGGTCAGCTCACTCGGTGGTAGGCAGGTTATAGTGATCATGCTACTGAGATTCCAGAAACCATTGCTTTCTGGCGCATTCTGATTACAGCACGTTGTATCACCCTTCCAATTTCGCATTGCTGCTGGCAGGTGCAGGAAATCCGAAGCGATCTGCTTCGAGACCCTTTCCGAAACGAACTCAATCGCTAAGATGCGCTGCATCATTCGACACTTGCTACGGGATTTCTGTTTATCATTTTCATGTGATTATTACATTCGGGGCACTCGTAGTGACACTAATTAGTGGAATTTGGGAATGGGCATGGGGACGTTGAACCCAGCAGCGATGAGACGCTCGACGCCCTTCTCGGACATGCCCGCTCCGATATCTGTCTTTCCTTCGCGCAGGCCCTTGAGCGTGTGGGCTGTGTAGTCCACCAGCGGCATCCAGATCTTCGACAGGAATGCGGTGGTGCCTTGTTCTGTCAAAGCATATCAGCACGGAGAATTCGTTGCACGCCACTGCAAAGAGACGCACCATCGTGCAGCTCAGACTCGACCAGGCTGGAATTGGACTTGAATCAGTGCTGAAGACACGCATATAGCCAGGCCACTTACGGCGGGATGATGTCGATGACACCGACCTTGGTCTCAGTCAGCTGGTCGCGCAGAGAGATCGTGAAGCTGCGCAGGGCGGCCTTGGTCGCAGAGTAGTTGGGCATCTGGCTGGAAGGCAGGATGCCCAAGCCTGAGGAAACAGGGATGATCCAGGACGGCAGTCCTTCGCCCTACGTTTGTGATTGAGCAAATTGCGGGAAGGGCATGGCATGGTGCTCACCGAAAGCTTCAGGAAGTGCGGCAAGAACAACGTGATGAGGGTCACCACCGCCAAGTAGTTGACCTGCACTTCTTTCTTCATTTCTGCAATTCAGATGTCAGAGGCAGCAGCAACGAGATCGGAGACAAGCCGCGTACCCTGAAGCTTGACCTCGCCCAAGAAGTTCTGCTGGTATTGGATCCCCGAGCACAGCAAGACTCCGTCGAGCTGGACGTGGTTCAGATTCGGGACACCGGAAATGTCGCGTCCGGTACACATACAGTAGGGTACTGGGCGATCAAAGCGTCGACCTTGGTCTTCAACGCCGCATCATCCTCAGTGACGTCGAGCTGGACAGTCTTCAGGCCCTTGGCGGCAAGTTCAGCCAGGCGATCTGCTCTTCTTCCGGCAGCGATCACGGTGGGCTTGCTCGGCAGCTCAGAGATAGCGAGCGCAAGCGCGCGTCCGATCCCGGAGGTAGCGCCGACAACGAGGATGCAGCGAGCTTGATCGATAGAAGTCACCATGACGGAAAGAGCTTGAATGTAGCGATGGAAAGGTATCGAGCTGCGTCTTTATAGGGTACAGTAGAAGCAGGTTAATCCGTCGACGTAACGGTGATATGTCATTAATCCATTCTTCCGGCTCGCCTGTAGATCACTGAGAAGTTGGGAAACCATCGATTTCATTTCTCAAGATTTCAGTGTTCAAGCAAAATGTCCAGTGGGAGTAATGTGGGCGGAGAACATGACTGCGATGATCGCAATGGGGCACAGTTCAGAGAACAAAGCGGCGTGACCGGATGACAGCTACGTTTTACATCAAAGAGGAGAAAGGAACGCGGATGTCACCCGAAAGTGAATATTCGGGCGGTGGCCGAGCTGAAGGCGTACGTACCTCGGCAACCTATCCAAGACTATCTGATGCGTGAGAAGATTCAAGATACGACAACAGATACAGAGATAAGTACAACGGCACAAAAACATCGAAAGCTAAGAGGACGTGCCAGTGCTATCTACTACCATGGCAGTGGCGGTACCATTCTGCGAGGGTGGAGTACTGGCTGTACTATCGACATCCATCTGGGACACAGACCCCGAGGACAGAACTCTCGTGCGGCCACTGGGCCCGGCACCTGATGCAGAGGGCCCAGATGCCATGATGCCGAATTTGCGGCCTGCTGCAGCCTCATTTCCTGCCGAACGAGTGGTGCTGTCGGCAAGCCTGTGATTGGCATGGTTCGTGCGACCGCCGTCGCCCTCGTCATCCGAGTCGGACAGTTCTCCATCAGCTTGCGTTCGAGAATCTAGCAGTCTGCGGTGTCGGCGCGTATCAGCAGGAATGAGATCTTCGTCTCGGTTAGGATCATCCAATTCCATGTCGATTGGCAGAGAGGGGATGTCTGCATGACAATGAGTTCCAGTCGGTCGTAATTATAGAAGGCTGGATACCACTCATCTGGACACTTGGTGGACCTCCAGTGTGACGCAGATTCTCCATGACGATGCGTTTCACCCGATCAAGATATGCTGGGGTGTTCAGGTCGTCCGTATTCGATGACTTGACATCCAGCTCATAGTCGGGTCCAAAGTACTCGTAGTATTCGTTGACCGGGATCTCTGGTTGGGCGAGTTCAGCCGCGTGCTATAGCTTGAATACAATTGACGCACCAGGCCCAAGTTCGACTCCGGCAGCCAGTCCCGTCTCATAAGCCCATGCCCGACTCACATTACGCATGGTATATCCACCTCCTCCAAGCAAGAGTAGCGGCCGATTGAACGACTTGACGAACTTGACACAGTTCGCATGGCCTGTGTGGGGTCACGTGGAAGTCCGTTTGATCACAAGGATGAACATGCCTCGCATAGACAAATTAAGACAGCCCAATTTATCACCGGAGAGTGAGTCTGTCCCGCACTGCAGTACAATGGCTGACGGATCATATGTATCCATCACTTGTTGGATCACAGGCTCGAAAACAGATTTGTAGTTCTCGTCCGAAATTCCGTCGCGTAGAGGGAAGTTGAGGGCGTAGTTCTTGCCCTTCATGACCCCAATATCCTGGCAAACGATTCGTCAGCATAAGAGACCGTCGAAAACGTGGAGCCGCACTCTGAGTTCGCCTGTTCCAGGGAAGTATTCTCCGTACTTGTGGAAACTAACAGTCATAACGCGATCAGTCGTATAAAAGGCTTCCTCAACGCCATCTCCATGATGGACATCAATGTCGATGTACAAAACGCGGGTATGATATCTGCACCGGAGGTCAGCACAAGACAATTCGTAGAGTGACACGTGATGTACCGAAGAAGTTCGAGGATGCCTAAGACGATGTCTATGCGGCGGTCAGCACATGACTGCCCTCCAATATCAATGATAGAGCACACCATTGACGTAGCAGAAACCGCTCGCTTCTGTTTTCTTCGCATGATGAAGCCCGCCAGCCCAATTGATCGCAATATCACACTTGTCTCGACTCAATCGAGCAGCTCCCTCTGGAGGAATGTCAAGCAAGAATTACGCCGATGAAAGCAAGGATGATTTACCCATCGAGCCTCCGGCAGAGATCGAACAGTATTCGAACAAGCCATCAAACACCGGGCAGTCATCGCCCACGTTATCTGGGGAGCGAGGTTCGACAATGCACATTCTAGAAAGAGAGTCGACAGACATTTGTGCTGCTCTTTGACATACGAGTTCATGTTGCTGGGAGTGATGCGGTTCAGAAAGTCGATGTATTCATCAGAGTGGAATTGCGTCATTTCGCGCTTGGTCGCAGGTTTGGCTCGCTGGGAGTTGTATAAGTAGAGAGACGGATGTCGAGAGTCGATTACTCGCGAAGATCTCCATTTTCTTGTACAAACCGTAGTTCATGACAAGAGAATGGCACATTCGTATGCGAGTGGGTTTCATACTAAAAGCACGGATAAAATCAGATTCGACTGAGTTGTGGAGGTTTTGCAAGATCGTACGGGTGCCCAGGTCCATAATGGAAACCTCCAATGTCGGAATCGAAGAAGTAACACTGAGAGCGTACCGATCAACAGAATGTCGTGTAATAAAACAGAACCGAGCTCACAACACGCTTCTTGTTCGTCTCTCCTTCGAGAGGAATCATATGTGCCATTTTTATGATTGTAGTCGCGTTCGTCAGAGCCTCATAATTAAGGAAGGTGGATGGGTGTGAGTGGTTGTTGATGAAGCTGGGTGTATCGCCACCATTGATCGCACGCGACAAGCAGCTGAATGGAATCCCAAAAGGGCGAGTAGTAAGTACACAGGCGTATATGCAAGTATGGTAATCAGGAAGTGAGGAATAGCTACAACGCTACACTATATTTTCGCTTTTCCTAATGGGGCACTCTCTCGTCCTACATCCGTTGATCCAAGGGTCAGGAAGACGAAGAAAGGCCAGACGAACCCTGGTAGACGAGAGTGGAGGGAGCGAATCCAAAGTCATCTGCGAGCTTGATTTTCTATTCGAGTGTTATCAGTCTCCATGAAGTCTGATATCTGAGCAACTGACGAGCTCCCCGGCGATGACGCGGACCTGGAACATTCTGTCAGTGATCCAATGCGCTGCAGGTTGCCGTGTACACGAACCATAGACCAGTGATGAACACAGTGAAGTACCGCAAACCATAACTAATACTTGTGAAACAATGAGACAGGCAACATTCCAATCGACTTGCCTCTCGCCCAAAGGTCGTCTCAAATTCCTGGAGATAGGGTGTCACTGCTTGCAGAGACATGGCCGTACGAGAGTCCGCGCTCGGAACGATAGTTTCCAATCGCTTGACAGTTTCTAGCAAGGCTTGCTTAGCAGCGCCTGTGTCTGTGTTAGGAGGGAACAATCTAGCCAAGGTCGACGCACCCTGGTCCTGCTCCATGGGAGTGTTCCGCCTTCTAACATCATAGGAGAAGACATGGGGAGTGGAAGACGAATCGCAAATCGAGTCCATCAGGAGTTCGAAGTGATCTCTTGAATGGCGCAGATGCTTCCCTGATCTCGCTAAATGTCTGAGGTGATTTCTGAGTAGGAGCACGCACCGATTGTCGACCCGGGGAGGTATTGGGAGTGAATGGATAGCTGGTCGTTTGACGAGATATGGTTGTCCAGTAGGTCAATTCCTGCAGGCGCGTCTGTAGTCGATACCTTCACGGCAAGGAACAATAGACGACGGCGAACCTTGCTGGAGAACGATTTTCGACACGCTCAGCAACTGACCCAGAGAGCTCGACGCCTCGGCCGTAGAGTTGGATTCAGCGACCACGTTTTCGACAGCAGTTTGCATGGCGGAAGGAGGCAAGCTGAGTAAACACGAGTCGCTCTATCAAACCAAAAACGCGTTGTCCGCAAGGCGTTCTACTCAGCCTCGCTGCTGCGCATCCGAGGTCGCGAGCTCTTAGCGGAGGATCAATATGATTTCGAACAAAGACCGGATACAACAAATGTACGATACAAGATTGTGTCTGCCACCTAATTTCGAGCAACCCACGGTACAAAATAAGTCGTTCGAACTCAAGGGGAGGATCCGTCTGCCAGGGCCTTGTCTCTCGAAGAGTAGAGACTGAGAGAAAACAAGGAACCTTTCTCTCGTCGTCTAGGGTCTGGACGAGGTACAAATCTCGGCGGACGCCGCTTTATACTCACGATGCACCGCCACTGCCATATTAGGTAACACAAGGACCCGGAACTCCGAATCGCAGTGGAACGGAACTGATAAGTGAAATATATGGCCCGGCAGAGGTGCAAGGGAAGCTACGTCTCGGAGGCTCTCCCTCTTTCTTCAACGAAAGGTTCAACGTCGTACTTGCGGAAGCGGAGTGTATCATGGCCGTGGGAATAAATACATCACGCCTGCAAATTCAGACAAGAAGTTCACAGGGCACGGGAGATTGGATCCGAGTCTGTCAGACGACGAAGAGAACGTGAAGAAAGAAGTTCGTCTTGAGAAGGCCCAGTGCGAATGACTCTGGCCAAGCCCACTCCATGGCTTGCGTTACGCCGATCACTCCGCACCATTTGCCTCCACGTCCAGCCCAGTTGCACACCCTGCGACGGGAATTCTTCAGGCTGAGCGGGCGTCGGATCCTGGCTGTCGGGCGACTTGTCGCGGAGATCCAAGCAAAGAATGAGTTGCTGCGAAGCACCTGAGATACCGTCCTGTTTGGCCGATGCTGATGCCGGCGGAAGGAAGGAAGGAGAGAAGATATGCCGGGAGTGGCCTTAAGGCGAGCTCTAGGTCTATGTCCGCTATCCGGCGGTGTTGTGCGTCCTGCCAGTCTATACTTAAAACACAGGCCTCCGTACGTGTGACGTGACCCGTACGTGACCCTGCATCCTCTTCGCGCAATGCTCTCATCCCTCCGGAAAGCCCGCACCCTCACACGGGTACGCTACCCGGACTCGCCGTCATTTTCTCTGTCTCTAATCCATTTCGTAGGCTGCGTCTGCAGGTCAGAGGCGCTTTCTTTCCATCCACGAATACCAATCCGTGAAATTGCTCAACTCTGTAAATTCTACCTTTCACCCAGAGCCCCAGGAGCCTCATTACCCTACAGTACGGTATCCCCACCCCGAAGAGCATTGCTGCGAAAACTCCCGAAGAGGCATTCGATGTCGCAAAGAACTTTGGTTCGTCCGCCAGCGTTGTAACGTCGAACTTGGTATTGACCGTCGCTCTAGGCCAGGACCAACTGGTCATCAAAGCCCAGGTCCTTGCCGGCGGAAGAGGAAAGGGCCACTTCGATACCGGTCTGCAGGGCGGTGTGCATATGATTAGCAGGTGCGCTTCCCTCTCACGATCGGCATGCCCAACTGACGTATCACACAATCCTGCAGCCCAGAACAGGCGCAGGACTTCGCGTCGAAGATGATCGGGTCCAAGCTCATCACCAAGCAAACTGGTGCCGGTGGGCGGTTGTGCAACGCCGTCATGCTGGCGGAGCGCCGCAACCCGACGCATGAGTACTACGTCGCAGTCTTGAACGACCGTGTTTCTCAGGGCATCGTTCTTGTCGCGTCTGCTCAGGGTGGTATGAACATCGAGGAAGTCGCAGCGAAGGACCCGGATGCTATCATCACGACTCCCATCAACTACGAGACTGGGCTCACGAACGCCGAGGCGCTGGGGGTGGCCACTAAGCTCGGGTTCAAAGATGGCGCTAAGGAGCAGGCTGCTGACATCTTCACCAACCTTGTCAAGATTTTCAAGGAGAAGGATGCTACCCAAATCGAGATCAACCCTATGGCTGAGACCGAAGATGGTGCTGTCCTCTGGTAAATACTATAGTCTCACTAATTTTCGCGATGTTTTGCTGAAATCTCTTGTCTGCAGCATGGATGCTAAGTTCGGGTTCGACGACAATGCCAGCTTCCGCCAGCAAGACGTCTTTGCTCTCCGTGATATCACTCAAGAGGAGGCATCTGAAGTGGAGGCTGCCAAGTACGACCTCAACTTTATCAAGCTGGATGGCAGTGTCGGATGTCTTGTCAACGGGGCTGGATTGGCTATGGCCACCATGGACGTGCTTTCCTTACATGGCGGCAACCCCGCCAATTTCCTTGACGTCGGAGGGTACGCTCTGCTCTGCCGTCTCATGCCCTGTCTGAAAGTATATCCGCAGAGGTGCTACCCCCGAAACTGTCAAGAAGGCTTTCGAGATTTTGCTTGCCGATCCGAAAGTGAAATGTATCTTCATTAACATCTTTGGAGGTAAGAGAGCATCCTTTGCCTGAAAACTGTTCGCTGAATAATCATTCTTCCAGGAATTATGCGTTGTGATTATATCGCTGAGGGTGTCATCAAGGCTACCAAAGAGCTCTCTCTGAAGATTCCTCTCGTTGTCCGTCTGAAGGGCACCAAAGAAGCCGAGGCCAAGCAGTCTGTGCTTCTCCCTTATCTCTGCTCATGTTCTGAAAAATTTCCAGGATGATCCGGGATTCCGGGTTGAAGATCATCGCGTTTGACGGATTAGACGATGCGGCTGAGCGTGCTGCTCAGTTGGCTGCAGCTTAGATGTCGATTGTATATATGTCTTGTGAATCAACGGAAATGTTGCAAAATCTGATATATACACACGAAAGAAGAAAAAGAGAATAATGCTAATTCACCAAGGGGGGCGTGCGAACGAATTTGAGGGAGGCGGGTTGTACGCGTGGCCGTTGGGCATCCCATTGGGCGGCATTGGGGGATGTCCGTTCTGACCGGGCATATACCCACCCACCGGGGCGTGCATGAGGATCGGGCTGGCTGGGAATGGCGAGACGGGGCTCATCGGTGGTCGCCCCCGACCGGCGTTCGCCGGGGATGCGGTGGGCTGTGGCCCGAGCGAGGGATATGGCATGTACGGGGGATATGGTCCAGCACGCATCTGCGGTCCCATCCACACAGGTGCGCTGTAGATGGCACCGTTCATAGGCATCCGCCCAGGCCCGGGACTTGGCGCCATCGGGTTCTGGGGCATCGCATTCGGGTTCTGGGGCATCGGGTACATGCCCATGGGTGACATCATCGGCGATCCCATCATCGGTGATCCCATCATCGGTGGATAGCCATAGTTCGGCACCGGCCGCATCATCGGGTTTGGAGGCATTGCGTACGGGGAATACGCTGGAGGACGGGCGACGGGCGCTGTCGTCGACGGAGGGGAAATGGATGGCCGTTGGGGCTGTGCAGGGGACGACGTCGGGACCTGGAATGCGCGTGTGACATCTGTGAGCGTGATTCGTGACGGGGCTGGAGTGACGGCGGTGGGTGGGGGTGTGCCACCGTCTTCTGATTTCACATCTTGCAGCGTGAAGGGGATGGCGCCGAGATCGTCTGCGATGGCTTCCAGAGAGTTGACTGTGTGAATTCCAGGCATGTTGGACGACCACACAGCCTTGAGCAGTTCCCTGTCGGGCCCTGGAACCGCTTCCTTGGTTGGCACAGTCAGCGTCCAAGAAGGGGCAATCTGAGGATATGAGAGTAGATGGTCGGATACAAGAAACTAACATACCGGTTCACCGGACTCCTTTTCCAGACTCTCCAGCTCACTGTGCACGATGAAACTCACAGGAGCGGCCTCCGATCCCTCAGCCGTCGACTCTCGGTAAAACGCAACAGAAGAGCCCGGTGGCATTTTCGGCCGTGAGCGCGGCCGAGCCGGGCCAAATGCATCTGGTCCATCGCTTTTGGGTGTGAAAGTCGCGGTCGGATCTGAGGGCATTTGGGGGGGTGGCGACCGGCTGACTGGATTCAGGCCTGCTTCTGGCTGCTCTGGTTGCGGTTTGCGCCAGTTGGGCAAGTTGTCTGCAACGGACGGCCGAACATACAGCCCGGACCCAGCGCTCTTGGGCTGGGCAGGGATATTAACGCGCGGGCCATTGGACCGAGGCCGCGGCAACACCACTCTGATCTTGGGCTTCCATTTGCCTGGATGTCTGAACAAGACGCTGTTGACAGTGAAATCGCGGCGAGTCATTCCCTCCACCGGCGGATCAAACGAAAGAATGTCCCAGCGCACGAATTCCTGTCGCTTTGGTACATGGACGTCTTTGCCCAGCACCCGTGAAACCTTGGGTAAGCGGACAGTAAACGTGTTCCAGACAGACTTGGAGCTGGGAGGCTCGCATGCGGTGGTGATCTCCTCACGTGGCGGTGGTGCCCATCGGTCCAGCTGGGCGACTGGACGTGCCGGTGCGAGCGGCTCCGCAGGTCGAACTTCCCGCTCGCTGACGCTGTTCTGTTCGATGGCGCCTTTCACGCGCGACATGAACTCATCCAACGCGGTCATAGGCGCCTCCTTGAAGGAGCCTGGGGCCCGGACGGCACGAGCCAGGTATGGAGAGGAATGTCCGGCTAATTCGACCGGCTCAGGGACATCTTTTGCCGGTCGGTCTTTGCTCTGATCGATGACTGCATCGTCCGGATTCCGTCGCCTCCAGGTGGGTCCGCTGGTTCTATCTGTCGGTGCTCCGGCATTCAGCTCAAACGTCCGAGCAGGCCGATCGTCGAAAAAGTCGCTTGCAACCGGCCGACCTGGCCGACTGAGCGAGGGAGGACCAGGAGTCAATGGTAGCGGAGTGATGGTCGATGTGTCCACTGGACCGACACCCATGAACTTTCCCAATTCAGCAAAGTCCACAACCTCCAGTTCTTCTGTATCTTTCACGAGCGACTCGACCTGTTCCAAGGCCGTCGGTGTCGAAACGAATGAAGGACGGGCGGATATCTTGGGGGGTGGCGGCACCGTTTTGTTTCTCCACGACAGCTCAGGCTGCGAAACAGAAACATCTGAAGGTTGAGGTGCGGATTGCAGCGCGGGAGGCTTGACATCTTTGATCGCGGCCTCAATCAGACTGACAGCTTCCTACAAGCACAGATTGGTAAGAGATCAAGACTACCAGCAGTGTTGAACTCACAGATTCCAAGGAAATCACAGGCGACAGTGGTTTGTTCTTCTCCTCCAGAACCTTCATCCTCTCCTCGAGCTCAGCTGCCTTCCTCCTTGCTCGTTCGCGCTCTTGTTCGCGCTCAAGTTCTTCTTGCTGCCGGCGCGCTTTGGCCCTTGCTGCAGCCGACTGCATGACATCTTTACGCGCCTCATCGAGGTCGGCACCACTCAGAGGGTGTTCCGCTAATGATACCGTAGCAATGACTGGAGACGGTGCCACAGACGACGCCGGAGTCTTCCGACTGTCGCGTGACGTCGAGGGCCTCCTCAGAGGGGCTCTTTCCGGCTCAGCAACAGGATTGGGACTTAGATGTGGTGGAAGCTGTCTCCCGACAGAGTTGGGCACTGGGGGTGGCCCCATATTGGACAGTCTACGTCCTCGAGATTCGGGCTCTGGTCTACGTGACCATGCATTAGGTGGCGGTGCAACGGAAGGGGGCCTGCTCCCTTGGAACGAAGTGGGACGACCTCGATTGTTCTGCAGTACCTGGACACGGTCACTTTCAGCCCTAGACAATCCGTAGTCACGGCCGGGCCTAGACTCCGTGGGGGAAACCCCTTCGCCGCGTTTTTGGCCTGGCGGTCCACGGTTCACTGGCTCGAATTTGTTTGACCGTTCGTTGAAAAGCATTCCGCTTCGACCTTCATTGAACGACACAGCTGGTGAGATTTGGCTGGGTCCGACAGCTGCTATGGGGAGATCACCCGTCGAGACAGCAGGCGAAGCTCGCTTTGACCGGGGCCACGAGCGATCGAAATCATCATCATCGGTGAAACGTGTTGACCGCGAGTCAGGCCTGGCGACAGTTTCTAGTTTTGCAGAAGTTGGAGGAGGAGGAGATGGTGGAAATGTCAACGATGCAGCTGGCGGAGGTGGAGGAATTTCCATTTCAGCAGTAGTTGGGGTTGGTTCAATTTTGTACTGTCGACCGTCACCGAACTCGAGAACGCCATCGAGAAAGTTATCGTCGTCCTCTTCCATCTAGTCAAGTCAACGTCAGAATGTGGATCAATCGCAATGTGGTTGAACGCACATCATCCCAATGATGAGCATTCGGATCCAGATGCACCCCACGAAATGTGTCCGCCTCTTCCATGCGTGCGAGTTTGTGAGCCATTTCGACTGCTGCCGCCTCCTTCGCTGCAGCCGCTGCAGCATTGCGATCCAAGAGAGATGGCTTCGTTGAACGAGGCACGGCAGCTGCGATCCATCGGTGAGGGGACAATGGGTCGAGAACACATCACGCACCTTCTGCGGCAGTCGGAAAGTCGGTTTGCGATGCCATGTCAGGATGCCTCATCCCAGTTTTGGGATTCCCCCAAGCAGCGCGTCCATTGGGTCCTGCGCTTCCACCAGGGCCAACATTATTCAGGGAATCGCCTCGTCGTAGTTGCGCGTTCTTGAAGTCCACAGGTCCATTGGATTGGGCGACAGGTGCAGGTGTCGCAGATGGAGAGCGTGACCAGCCCGAGCCGGCGCTTGGCGGAGCGAGGGATTGTGATGATGGCGCGACAGTGAGCTTGGTGGTCACTAGACGCGAATGTGAAGTTGAAGCAGGAACTTGAGGACGTGCTAGTCGAGAAACGAACGATGATTATGATAACGCAGCGAGGTGCATAGAAGGGACATACGTGTGGCAACACTAATAGATTTCCCCCCTTTGCTCCCCACGCCTGAACTAGCGTTGCTGGCTGCGGTATGCGATGCACCCGACGCTGAGGAACTGGAAGAGTTCTTCTCCAGAAACTTCTTGTTGATGTTCACTGAGCTGAATTTTTTCGTAGGTGGTGTCGCGGCCGTCTGCGAACTGGAACCGCCGAGGGGGACGAGTGATGGACGGATAGCCGGTGCGGAGGCTGACGCGGCTATCGATTCGGAGGCTGTCGCAGACGGCGCTACAGTCGAGGCGCTCTCGGGTGCGTCGTTCAGTTGAGGTAGGATGTTCGAGCTCGTGGCGTCTTCATCGGCCATAGACCAGATATAGAGACAGTTCCAATGGAAATTTTCACGAAGTAGAATGCTTTTGAGACCTTTTACATGCATGTAATTCAGTGAAAGAAGAATAGTACGCCATAGGAAGGTAAGACCTAGCCTGAGGCGGCTTGCGCTGGGAAACTGCGGGTTATGAGTAGCGACACTGGAAGGTGCTGCAACGGAGGTTGCCAAACACAAGCGTATATAAATTTGGGTTGGTCTTGAACCACACCCTGATACAAGTCGTGCATACACTCGAGATAATGTTCGTCTACCCTACTTCGTCAACTCTGCCAACTCCGATTCTCGAGCATTCAATGCGTTCACTTCCGCATCCAGTGCTACATTAGCCAGTTCAATCTGAAGGACATTCGAAATCAGCTCTGTCCATCTTGTTTCGAGGCTGGTCAACTGTGCGCCGAGTTTGGTCTGCGTGTTTTTACGCTCCCGATTTACGTCCACGGTTAGTAGCTTCAAGTCCTCAAGCGCCTGCTCCGTCTGTTTTACCGTCGACTCGAGGAGATAATTATGAATTCTCCATGCATTAGACCCATACGTTTGGAGTAACGTCAGATTCGTTTGTCTTTGGGAAATAAGAGACGGCACTGTGCGAGCGTTTGTTCAGACTGACCGCATTCGCTGATGCTCCAATTGAGCATTCGCATTGTCGAGCGCCGCCTGCCATTCTTCATCTGTCCCTGGAGCTGACGGCGCAGGCAGCTGGTAACGGAGCGCATCGAGTCGAGGAAATTCTTGATGTGCCTCAACGCGCTCGAGCTCCGCTTGGAGTAAAGGATGTTTCTACGAGGGCAGAAAAATCAGCCAGGATTCGAGAATAGAGCTCTTACTGACGGCGAACAGTTTGTATTCTGGCGGGACGCGTGGATGTAATTCCGTTGGCGGCTTTGGTTGACGCGCCAGTTCACGATCAACTTTTTCTTTCAGCCCAGGATATCGTTCTACGTCGTTGTCATAGTACGGAAGAGAATCGAGGAGTTCAGTCATGGTCCTGAGCAACAAGTTTGTACATCGCGAACGAGTGGCTGTGCTACCAAACCATGTCTCTTCGTATCGGCCAGGTGCTCGCAAGGCAGCTTGTAGCTGTACGCTCACGGGCCCTGCACAACTCCTCGAGAGCTCTTGCATCCACTTCCCCCTTTGTAGAGTCGACGTCTCCTAACCCTACCCTGGAAAAATACGCGCAGGCGACCTCCGAGCTTCACACCTACGGATCATACCTCACTCAATGCATGCCCAAATTCATCCAGCAGTTCTCCGTCTCTCGTGACGAGCTCACTCTCTATGCACCGGCTTCTGCCATCGTTCCTTTGCTCACATTCCTTCGGGATCACTCGCGCTGCCAGTTCAAGTACCTCATGCAGGTGACGGCGGCGGACTTCCCGGAGCGCGACAAGCGATTCGAGGTCGTATATCATCTGCTTAGCACCTCGCAGCAAGGAAGGATCAGGGTCAAGACCTATGCCGGCGAAGGAGATCATGTACCTAGTGCAGCGAACGTTTTCCGGAGCGCAGATTGGTACGTATCTCGCCGCTTTTCTTATTGCCTGTGCAAATCGACTCTCAGGTACGAGAGAGAAGTTTGGGACATGTACGGCGTATTCTTCAGTGGCCATCCTGATCTGTGCGCTGTTTCAAAATCCTCTTCTGTTCTCAACTGACCATCGTCGTCACTGGCATTACAGTCGCCGTATTTTGACCGACTACGGTACGTCCTTCTAAGCATCATGTTCTTCAAATACTGATTCCACCAAGGCTTCGAGGGCCACCCCCTCCGCAAAGATTTCCCTCTCACCGTACGTTTCGTAGTGATTGTTTCTACGTCTCTAAACGTGCGGCAGGGGTACACCGAGCTTCGGTATGACGAAGAGCGCAAGCGCGTCGTCTATGAACCTCTGCAACTGACCCAAGCATTCCGGTTCGTTTATATTGATGGTCGCCTTACCCGTTTGCTGCTGACAACTCCACTCTCACAGCAATTTTGAATCTCTGTCTCCCTGGGAACAAGTTGGAGACGGAACCACTGCTCCGCGGCCAGACCAGTTGAAGCCTCTTCCTCCTCCAGCCGAACCGGAAGCCAAGAAGCCTTGAAGAGCTGATTAGTTACGCGTAGCCAAAGAATCCATGTGTAGAGTGCGTGTTATACAGAAAGAGCGGAGGCACGTAGAAACGTTTCATGAAGCTTCACCAACTTGGGGTTTCTCGACGAGTTCGCCTGGCTCGCCATTAACCTCTTCTACTTTCTCGACACCCATGCTGTCCACTGGAATCTTAGCATCCCCCCATCCCATTCGACTCACGATATATTCTTGCCCGATGACCTCCACACCAACCCGCAGCGCTTCAGCGACGAGATCCTCCACCCAGTCATAACGATCCCACATCGTATCTGAAAGCCAGGATCCCGGAATACACTGTGTTACAGTGCTGTGTGATAGTGAATGGGCCGGGTCACTGAGATGGATAAGGAAATGTAGTTGCTGGGATTGAGAATTCGAATTGAGAGAGGACAAAGCGAAGAAGGGTTGGATCCGGAGATAAACATGTGAATAAGTCGTCGGAGTCTGGACAGATGATTGGGCAGTTTGCGCCGTGTGGATCGGGACGTTTGCCTTGAACAATTCATCGAGATTGGCCTGCATATGTTGTGGTCAACTGAAAAGGAACAACTATGACAGCTTACCTGGGCAAGTTTCACAGCCGCTTCAAGTCCGTCCACCGGATTCAAATCTCTCCCAGGGGCGGCGTTTTCCTTGGGTTTCGATTCATCACCGCGATTTACGATCAGGTCACCTCCTTCTACTTGTTCCATAATCTGCATGAAGCATTGAGACTGAGCGTGCAATATCAAATGAAGAACCCACTCTCGCAAGGGCACGGTAGACAAGAGATTCAATACCCTCATGACCACGCATGTCGTGACTCAGCCAGACTTGAATGACCTGATGAATGGTTCGGATGAGCGAACTGGAGTAGAGGACCACTGGGAGATGTAATCTCACTTCGTGCTCAGAGATCGGAGGGGCAACAACGTTGAGTATATCAGTGAGCGTCGACAATCCGACTCGCTTGAAGTCTTGACCTGATTTGCGGGTCAATTGGCGTCCAGACGGTAGATCTCACTGACTGATTTTATCTAGCTGGGCGGTCTTCGCGTACTCGATCACCCCCTCACCCCATTTACGCGCTTGTTCGTTATTCGGAAGGTGCTTAACCTGCTCATCGACGGCGGATTTGGCTTGCGCGATCGCAGCCGAGGCGCTGTTCCATACGGACCCCCACCCCCACCCACTCGCAGCAGCACTAGAGGCGGAACCTGCAGCATTAGAAACTGGAGCAGCGGCGGGTACAGGAGCGCTGGTGACGTCTTTCCGTAACGATGAGCTCGAGGGCGTCCTCAAGAGAGAAGCGGGAGTGCCGCCACCCAACTTGACTCGCTCTGTACTCTTTCGCAGAGTCGGAGTTCCTGAACGGGAAGCGGGCCTTTCGACTTGAGTGCGGGGAGTCGGTTCAGCGCTCTTCTGCGTGATTTCGTCGATGAATGCTAGAACCTCGGCTTCACCACCCTGCGCGCTAGGTTGAGTTGTACCGACGGCAGGGGCCCCGCGAGAGTCGGACGATGGAGGTGCAAAGTTATCGAGGTCGTCAAGAAATGCCAGAGCCTCTTCTTGTTTGGATTTTGCCTTCGACATGTTGGAAGTCTTCCTGAGAGTCTGAGCTGAGCCGTGACGAGATGGTGTGTGTCACGTATCAGCGCCTGCTTCTCAAATCTAAATCTTATCAAATAACACAGAGCAACATGGCGAAAGACACCAAACGGAAACGAGATGAATCGGAGGAGGAAGAGGAGGAGGGCTATGTTGTGGAGGTTATAACGAAAGCTCGAGTCGTGAATCCCGGACCTGATTCACCACACAGGCAAGGCAATTGGGTAGGGTTGTACGCTGGACATGTATCACGTACCTAATGTCTTCTGCAGGAATACTACGTGAAGGTTCTTGGAAACTTGACTCTACAGATGATTGTGATGACTATCTTTGCAGTGGGTGGGCTATGACGAAGACGAAGATTCGTGCGTAATCCACCCTCGCCTGAACTCATACTGAACTCAGGATGCGCCAGATGGGAGCCTGCCGAGAATGTCGCAGCATGCCAAAGACTCCTTACGAGCTTCTGGAGCAACGTCGGGACAGATGACAATGACTATCCCGTGGGTTATGAGGTCGAGGCGAAACCGGCGTGGATCAGTACGTCGACAACTGCTCAAACCGGCTCTCAGATGCTGACCAAGGCAGGGAAGGAGCGTAAACGGGCGAAAGATGAATTAGCGAAAGAGAAGGAGGAAGCTCGGAGACAGCAGGAAAGAGCTGAGCGAAGGAAGGAGGCAAAGATCGCGGCACTGAAAGCGGTGAGCCTCGTAAACATCTTTCTTGAGTGTTATCTTAATGCATATTTTTAGGCAAAGACAGAGCGCAAGCGAAATGGATCCTCCTCACGGAGCGTATCTGCGGCATCTGTCTCCCGGCCTCCCATAAAGAGCAAAGCTGCATCGAAGACAGTTGCGGCACCACCCAAGAAAAAGACGAAAATGCAGGAATCCTCTTCTGAAACGGAGTCGGAGGAAGAAGTACCTTTGTCCCGATTCAAAAGTCTCAACCAGTCCGTTCATACATTGGACTATGATCTCTTAATTCTGAGAATTTCACTCAGGAAACTTCGAACAAAGGGAAAGGGAAAGGAAGACAAGATTCGGACAAGGTGTGGCTGCAGATCTTGCGGATCTCTGTCGGATTGCTTCTCACCCTCCATGTCCTACAGGGCGCGAAATCCAACGCAAGCACTTCAGCCGCAAAACGGGACGATACCAGCAAAACTCCGGTATGTCGCGGAACATCTCGAGAGCTCTCTCTTTAGCGTCGTACAGAGAATTGCCTCCAATCAATGCTGCGGCAGCGGCAGCGGCCGCAGAACTGTTCCCACCCAGCCCGCCGGGTTCTCCTCAGATCAGTCTCAGCGATCAGATTGCCAAAGCGAAAAGCCCAATCCCACCGCCCCAAACTATGGCTTCAACCCTCAAACAGGCAGAAAAAACCGACATCATTGCCCGTTCTCTCTAAGCCAGCAACTGCTCCGACAGCCTCGCGATTTCCATCCTCAAGCAAAACTACTGTAATTCCTGGGGCGACTACCTTGAAGACATCAAGGCCCCCCCTCCCTTCTCGGGCCACGGCTTCGTCAATCACCCGCTGTATCGTCTTTAATGCCGCAAGTCGGGATCAGCACCAAGATGAGACTTGGTCAAGCTGCTCTGGCTCTGGAGAAGGCCAATTCTACCGACATTCCCAGTCGGATTGCCCCGAATCTCTCCCACATGAAGATCAAAAAATATCCAAAGATATCTGACGCTGCGAGTAGCAGAAACAGCCTGCTGCAAGCAGCAGCTCATCAGCACCAGCAAGGCTTTGCACTGCCCAAGCGGCCCAAGCCTGCTCCGGACCCGATTTTCGATGATGCAGACGATATGGGGATGCAATTGATCCGTCGCCCGAATGTACCAAACGTCCGCTACGATGGATGCTGTTCCACAACAGGAGATAGATTGGCCCATCGTCAGTCCTGATTTCCAGTTGATTGCCCCTCTCAAATCCCTCAGAGTTTCCCGGCGACTAGGCGCTCCCACAACAAACGTGAGGGATGTAGAAGACTTTCTTAAAAAAATCACTTTACCGCAACCAAAGTACGTGGCATGTTTGATGTTTCGATGCAAGCCTGACTAGCGTAGGCCGCTCCAGCTGCTCCTACTGCGTGAGGTCAACTTGTGTGCTTTGTTGCTCAGATTACATAGATAATCTCAAGTGCGTATAGAACGGTAGAACCTAGACTGGCTGCTAAGGCCCGGATACCCGTAGAGAGG